GAAAAATGGCCGGTTTATAGGGAATACTGAGGTGGCCGACTCGGTGGTGTGGCCGACTCGGTGGTGAAATACGTTAATTCACTATTATTTGGATAAGTAAGCTATGTTTGATGCCTGCTAGATCGACGGGCTAGATCCCAGGCTAACCAACGATAATCAATAAATCGCTTATGCACGAAAAAGGGGAACCCTACCAAAGCACACAGCAGCTGACAGCACATCCATGCTAATAACATGCATATTCCCTAAAAAGGGACGAAATGAAAGCAGTTCCCAAAATATTGAAAGAGAGAAAATTCAAATTAAAGAAGATGACAAAGAAAGGATCGAAAGACCAACACCAACACCAGCACCAAGCATCCAGACCAACACGGACCAGAGCATATCCATCCATCCATCCACCTCGCATACCCACACCGTTGGCTACTCGCGAATCGCCATCGATTAGCAAGACAAGAGTAATGGTAGACGTCACGGATGGATCCTCTCCCCTACCCCGCAAGACCAAGTGACACGAGTTCCCCGTCGCGAGTCTATACTCTATGGGGTAGTTATGTACGTTACCCGAGTGAACGGCCGCGAAGATCGCCGACAGACAGCGTGCGAGAAGTCCAGTCCTCCGGCCGAGCTTCCCAATGCTAGGCAGTAGTTGGTTAGCTCCTTGTGAGAGCTTAATCCGGCTGAGGAACGAGTTACGAGAAGAAGCTTCGACTCGGGGACGATAGGAGTGCGTAATGATAGTCGTTTAGTCGAGGTATCTACACTAGAGGTGTGGCGAAGTCGTGATGGTCTGAGTGTGAGTGTCTGGCTCCACTTGCTGGCGTGAACTGATTAACTTGCTAAGTATCATGCTATCTACGTGGTATGGAGTAGCTACGTGTTTATCCAGTATCTAGGACCTACTACGGGGTCTGTGTCCGTGTGGTGGCCTTTTCCTGATGGCTTCAATGCTTAGGGAGTTTGGTCTTGTGCTGGAGGGGGTCTAGTGGGAGAGCTATGGATGGATTGGGATCGGTCCGTTTTCGATGGCGTCGGGAGTGATCTATTATTATTATTTATTTTGATTTTTTATTTCTCGCCAATATCAGGATTATGTTCGATGTGCCGCGTTCGAACTTAAGAAAGCCATGGGTTATCGCTGCTTTCTATCGGCCACGCGGTTGGGAGAGAAGGGACCGTCTATCATTATTCGCTTTCGTAGATCTTCTCGGCTTGGGGTCCTGAGAGGCCAATGATCATTCGACGTCGATGCTTATATGTCAACCTGACGAAACCCAGTTGCAGACATCAAGATGAGAACTGCCGACTTGTTGAGGGATGAGAAGCTACTTTTGTTTTTGGGACACGTGGAGAGGTCAAGTTGTTTTATTTGTTGACGTTACCCTGCTGGTTGCGTTGGGAATTTGGCTGAGGTATGGGGATGGATATATAGTTCCGTTCGACTGGGCCAGAGGTATAGCAATTGCCGACAATCATTACCTCACCTATTGCCATAGAGTTGTATATATCGATATCGTCGACTTGGACAGTACAGTACATCTATTAAGTCAAACAGTGATGCTTCATCCTACACTAATATAACCTACACCGTGTAGTTCAACTACCGACGGACCGGCAACCCTATGAAAGCCGGCGTATATGATTTCCGTCCGCGACGCATTCCGCAGCTCCGTCCAGCTACGTTCTCGGGGAATTATCTCAGAATATTGTACAGAGTAACCCACCGGGGGTTATAATTGGAAGAATCGACCCGTAACGGGGCCCACCCGTGTCCGCCGCCCGTCCAGAGATAGAAAAAGTGCTAAACCGAAGGCAGCGCGAGGCCCCACCGATGTTTTGGTCAATCGGACTGATCGTCGTCTCCAAGGGCCTGGACCTTGGTTTCGTCGCCGCCAGAAGTTGGAAATTAGTGTCGGTCGCTTTCTTGTTTTTTCCCGTTTTTCTTGCCCGTTACGGTCGTTTAATTTGGGCGGGATTACTGGAGGATTACTGGGTAGGAAGGTAGATGTTGAGTCCGTCAGAGATTAGAGGGTTATACTCCGTACTGGGTATGGGAGCGAGATGAGATACCTCACGGTCGGCATCCGGATTCCTTCCTCAGTTCGCCGTTAAGGTCAGCCGGCTTGAGCATTCCTCGTTCTGCAATTAATTTCAAACATTGGCGACAAGCCACGCCCGTCGGTTCGAAACGGGATATTTATTATTATTACTATTATATGATTTCATTTTAATTTATCCCATTCCCGCATCCGCGCATGGGACGGTCCGTTAACGACTGCCGCAGCACCCGGAAGGACACATCGACTAAATGGTCCTGACGGTAATATGCATCGGACGCTGAGACGGTACCTGGCATGGATGGTTCATGATGTGTCCTGCTGCTCCTGCATCAAGTTGATAGCTGCATGGTCGTGACGGTGATTATTTTTTCATATTTCAATTTCTGCAAACGGTCTTACCCCCAAGATGCCTCCCAGAACGGACATCCTGGTATGGGTTTCTCTGTCGATCCCTACCTGTGGCATGCCGGAGAGAATCAACACTGCCTCCCCCTTCCGGATGTTTCCGTTGTCCGATCTGAATTTCTTCCATTATTGAGGTGGTGTTTTAGTTATCATCGGAGAGGGAAGGAATATCGAGGGGGTCAGCTGAATAGGGTTGGCTGTTTATGAGCAGTGTCATGGTTAGGATATCGAGAAATCAGCACCCGTTTGGGGGAGGGACTGCTCTCTAAACTGCAGACAAAGAGGGGAATATCCTTATTATAGGAACAATTATTAATTGATCATGCCGAAATATCCTCGGGGGCTTGTTTGTCTGTACTACCCATTCCTGCCCGTTGCGAGGGAAGGAAATATTCTGGCTCTCCTGAAAGTCACGCTGTTCTTGGGGGATGCAGGCTTTGGCAATCGTCCCATAGCAGCTTTGTTGGAGTGTCATAATAATAATGATAACCATCATCACCAGAACCACCGCCAAATCTGCACTCCAGCCTCAAGGCCAAGAAATCTTGGATAAGCGGATAAGAAACAAGTCCGTTCCAAGATTCAACGGAGTTTGGGGCACCCGACGATGGATAGTTAGATAGATATTTAATCCATCGGCGGTTCCCACTTCCCACTCATCTCGTTCACCTGGTTCTTCTAGCTCCCTACTAGAAGGAGCTACGACGGGGACGAGGTTTCAATCTCCAGCCTCCCAGGAAGAAAGAGTTTGTTCTCTCGCTCTCGTTTCGGCTTTTCGTTTCTTTTCCTTTCTCGAGAGGAGACGGAGGGGCGCACTAACCCGACCCAATTCTACTAAAACGATAGACTAGATCTAGTCGGTTTAGCTCTGCTCTCGGGCTGATTGCGCTGATTGCAGCGACGGGCGAAACCCGGTTTTGACCTGACCAACAGACCTCAAATGGGCTTTTTGGCGACGGGAGGATGTGCTTTTGCCTTCTCGATGGTTGGCTCGAACTAGTGAGCTGTGGGTTTTTCGTTGTCGTGTCTCATCTTCTCTTTTTCCTTTCTGTGTCTCTTCTATCCACTTCACCCATCACTTTTATTAGCATAATATTATTATGATTAGTCCTCGGTTTGGGTGTGTTTGTCGCTACTATAGTGTACTACTACTCGTTGCTGTTTCTGCCCCAATATTTCCCCAGCAGCTATTTGAAGCCGGTCATGGTTCGTCGGATGCATGATGAGACATGGGACCTGGAGATCAAAGACATCAATCTATATCCCTAAATATTATTAATCCCTATTCTTTCCTAGCGGATATGCCTTCTGCGTAGGTGGCACATCTAACTCCAAGCTCTGGTGTGGATGAGTGCGGCAGTGCGCCTTGTGCTGGAATCCCTGCATCATATCCTAACCTAGTAAGATGAAGTATACCGGGGGGACGAGCCATCCGCTAATGCTGCTACCTAATCTTGGGCGGGTGTCTTTGAATGGACGATTATCTTATGAATTATTATCGTTCCTGGACAGTCACCATTTATTTCAGTATTATTAAGATTACATGTGTAGGGCCGATGTGAAAAGGCAGACTAACTAGCCTTAGACTGTGCTATCGGTCCGACTATGGTGGACTGTGTAGTCTGGACGTGATTAATCTTGGGTTCCAATTCATGACGAGAAAGAGTATCACGATCCTCAGTCGCCTGTATTCCTCATCGACCGACTGTTTTCGCACCTCGAGGTGTCCGTTGGCAGAATGACCGTCGTCTCCTTGGCTCCGTTTCCGGTTCGAGCCCTGGCGGGGGATCCACGACCGTTGAGAGAGCCTTGATTATTGGTCTGCGTAGCAAAGGAAAAAATAAAATAAAAATAAAAATAAAATAGTCTGCGTAAAAAAAGAAAAAGGAAAGGGAAAAAAAAGAAAAACAAAAAAAAGATAACTCTCAGTCAGTCACCATAAGCTCCTCTCTCTGGGCTGTTTTTCCGCCTAAAAGTGACCCATTCCATCGTGCTTTCAACTGCATCCTCTTCCCCCCTCTTCTCTCTATCTGACTGATTGATTGATTGACTGACTGACTGAACTGGACGCTCTCCTCCTCTCCTCCTCCCCTTTCTCTAGTCCCTCCCCTCCCCCCATCCCATCCCATCCCATCCTCTCCCTATCTCCCTCCCCCTACAACATTTTCACCGTTCCCTCCTTTCGTTTTCCCTATCCCTTTTCTATTTTCACTTTCGTCTTTTTCGATTTTGTCTTTTAGTGATTCCCCTTACCTTCGTTTCCTTGAATCTTTTTTTTTCCCTGCCTCCCGCCGTCTGGACCTTCTCTCTTTTTTTATCGATTCAATTCCACGTCCTTGACCAGCCCTGCTTCGGTCGCTATCCTGCGTTCGTTGATCTCGTGGAAGTTATCGCCAATCGCGCCGTATTATTGCCATCGAGGAGTTTCCTGGCCCCAGCCCAAACGGTCCATCGATTCTTTCGACTTTTTGGCTGGCGGGAAAGCTTCCTTCCATTTCGGTTCGATCACCATGGCTCCTCCGCCGCGCTTGCGCATTTTATCAGGTGTGTACTCTGGCCCCGTCAAAGATCTGCAAATCGTCCGTGGACCTTGATTCCCGTCTCATTTTCCCGGACTGGATTTCGTCGAGGCGGATTTTCCCTTCACCACCGAAAATGTATCAAATGGACCGTTATCTAACGCGAGTCTGTGTAGTTGGGAGCAATGCTATCTCGGCCTTCCTTTCCTGGAGACTTCAGGCGACCACATCATGCGACGTGACGCTGGTTTGGAAATCGGGGTTCGAGGCTGTGGCCCAATACGGTGTCTCTTTCAAGTATGACTTTTTCGGCTCCCCCCTTTACCCCGGGACGTTTTACTTATCGATGAATTCGTCCCTAGATCGAAAGCATTCGGCAATGAACGATTTAAGCCTCGACATGGTACGTTTCCCTGTGTTCTTACGTTGAAAGAAATCTGGTCGACTAACGCGTGGTTTTTGCAGTGGTCCGTACACCGGAAGAAGCCGCGTCGCGAGAAAATGCCTACGACTACGTTATCCTCTGCGTCAAGGCCTTGCCTGATGTCTACGATCTGGCCTCCGTCATCGAATCCGTTGTTACCCCTCAACACACCTGCGTCCTCGTGAACACGACAAATACCCTGGGAGTCGAGTCGCATCTGGAGCAGCGGTTTCCGACCAACGTCGTTCTTTCGCTGGTTTCGGGGGTGGAGATTTCGCAGATTGGAGCCAGCGAGTTCGAACACTTGAACTCGTCCGATATTTGGATCGGTTCCACCACAAAGCAGACCAACGTCCCCAACTCCATCCAAGGCGACATGGCCGCGGCGCTAGCAATGACGCTGGGATCGGGACAGGTGAACTGCACAGTATCGAAAAATATCCGCCAGGAACAATTTGAGCGTATGATCGGGTAAGTCTCAAAAAACCTTTGGTTGTTGACTTCTTGTGAAAACGATTGCTAACTCTCTCTACAGACCAATTGCATTTTACCCCACTAGTGTAATGTTTGATACTTCCAACCACACGCAGCTTCTCGAGAAGGTCGGCGTGCGTCAATTAGTGACGGGCGTCATCGAAGAGCTTATCGAGCTGGCAAAGGCAAACGGGTGTTCATTCCCCAGTGATTTCAGTGAAAAGACGGTCGCGAGTATGACGGCCAGCGGGTCGCCGAGCGCGATGTATCAGGATTTCCAGGCCCGACGTCCGATGGAAATCGAAACTTACCTTGGAACTACCATCAAACTGGCGACCGAATCCGACGTCCGGATCCCACGTCTCGAAACTCTCTACGCAGCGCTTCTTCACATCAATGCCACTAACCTCAGCAAGCCTCGCGAATCTCCACCCCCCATGCCGGCTGCGGCACCCGCTGGAGCCCCTGTGCCTCCGGGCCCGCCTCCTCGAATGTCGTCTGCTCCCCCTCCCAGAGCAATGATGAATGGCCCTATGCGCCCGGGTCCCGGCGGGAGAACGAGTACCGGTATGCCAATGCCCGGAAGACGGGGACCCCCTGGACCGCCGATGCCCCCGATGCCTGGGATGATGAGACCCCCCAGTGCCCAGCCTCAATCTAAAATGCCTCCCAAGGAGGCTTCTTTGGAAGGCCTTGAGGAGTTCAGCCACCTTGTCGTGTATGACGACGGGGCGGGTGGTGAACCTCACCAGAACGGTAATGGCTTCCCTGATATGCCACCCGGCGGCCCGGGAGGTGCTCCGGCCGAAATGGCGTTGAGAGAACGCGAATTGGCGCTTCGACAGCGCGAGCTGCAGATCCGTGAACAAGAAATGATGAGTATGCGGCGAGGCCCCCCTCGAAGAGGGCCCCCGCCCAAGGCCGCCTTCGACGAGGAGGATGAAGATGACTATTTTGACCCCATGGATGCCCTTCCCGTCCCTCACATCGACCCCGACAGTGTGGATATGATGAGCATCACCTCCCGCAAAGCCAAGAAGGCCCCGAGCGCCAGCCAATTACGCAAAAACCCCGAGATTAACACGATGCCCCCGCCTCCTAATCGACCGGGCTCCTCTTTCAGCCGGTACTTTGGCGGAGGAAGGAAGCGTGCGAGCGACCGGATCATGCAGGAGATCCCTGGACTTCATGATTCGTTGATGGACAATCCCATGATGGCGTACTCATCCAACCGTTACGGTGCAGTCGACAGGAATCATATGGCCGCGGGATCGCGTGCCAACTCCCTGACGGCCAGTCGAATGGGCGACTTCCCGCCACACCCTTACCCGCAAAGCCGAAGGAACAGCAATTCCCCCGCGACTCCCTATGGCCCTGGTGGCCCTCGGATGGGCCGACCCGGGACCGCGCAAGACCAGCACCTAGGACCACCCAATGGCCCTCCTCACGGCGGCCATCCGTCGCCGCCCGGACAGATGCGAGCGCCTGTACCCAGGTATCCACCTGGGCAAGGTAATGCGGTAGGTCCGCAACAAGTTGAGCAACATTATGGGGTGAGCAAACCGTATTCCGCCAAGGGCACTCCCAAACATAGAAGTCTGACCGGAAGTGCGAGCGCCAGCGCGGAGAGTGGTGATAGCGGGGCCAGTGCGAACCTTGATTCCGAGAACTCGGCGCATAGTAGCCAAACCAGCTTAGGTGCTCAGCCACCAGCTGCCATGCCCGTTCGTTGAGAGAAAAAAAAGTTCTTTGAAAGACGATATCGGCCCTCGTCTCCCCTCCCGTCTCCCTTCGTTTCCCCCATCTCCATGTCTTTTGCCTCTCCTTCGATATCACGGCCGAGCTAGTTCTCTTTGTCGCTCCCTCTCCCTCTCATTTCTTCTTTCTCCTTCAAGAATACTAGCCACTCATGTCTGTTCTATAATGCATTTGTTTGGTTCTTTCCAAGAAAGCCCCCCCTTCATCTGATTTGTTTCCTTTCTCACAAGAGGCATTTTTTTAATTTCCTGTTTGGCAAAAGGAGGGCAGGCGAGGGCTCAAATTTTATAACTCTGTTGTTCAGTTCTTTGCATATACACAGGGGGACATAAGGGGCACATCTTTTTCTCGATTCATGTTTTCCTTTCTCTCTCTACCTTGGAGTGGTCGGGCGCGTTGTGTGTGTGGGTTTCTTTTGCATGTGGTGTTTCGCTTGCCTTTTTCTTTTCTGTCTCTTTCTCTTACCCTTAATGAGGGCGAGCAAGGAAGCTCGACCCGACAAATACGAATCGTCATCTTGCTCATGACCACCTCAAACGTCCATAATTGCCCACCGTGCATTACATGCTTTTCCTTTTGTTCTCCTGCATGAAAAGATCGTTGTACACTATTTACCAAAGGCGCCGCATATCTTACCGAGCTTTCATTTTGCGTGGATTGATCCATCCTATCCACTTGACTGGTTTTTGTGACAATGCACCTGCATTCCTTTGTATCTTTCCTTTATCTACCTATTGTTCTATTCAAGGTCTGTGATAATTCTGCAGCGTTGATTCCCTGGCCCGGGTCCCGGCATTAAAAAAGAAAGAGAACTACTTGTTTGATTCAGTGGTCGAGTGATTTGAATTGATTGGGTTCGTGGTTACAGAGCAGCAGTAAATGACATCATCCGTATTTGATAGAAGCGTTGAGAATGTATGAGACTTGATTGATAGTTTGCTTGGATCAATTTTCTGAGAAATTGTGTAGTGCATCCAGAATCCGATCTTGACTAGTGGTCGATATCAAAAAGTAGACTGGTAGATCTCTGCACGTGACCATCTCCACTGGAAAGTAAACAAACATCCGTCTAACTTCCACCCTCAACTTTATCGTCATCGACTTCGCAACCGCCTTCTTCAATCCGACCACGAAGACAACAAACGCCAAAAGAAACGAATCGAACAGAAAAAAACAAAAATGCCACCCCCTTACAACCACCACACCTACAACCCCAGCACCGGCACCGGCCGCCCCTCCTCAACCACCCACTTCCCCGCCACCGCCACCGCAACCCCCTCGATGCACATGAACATAAACCCAACCTCCTACACCAATCCTGGTCCCAGTTCCGGTTACGGCTCTGGCTCTGGTGCTGGATTCGGCACAAGCGGCGGCGGTAGTTCAAGCATGTCCGCCGCCAAAACACGGCAATACGCACAGCTCCATGCGTCGCTGGCGCAGTTGAATGCGAACCTCGCGGATACGCAGAATCTGGTGCGTATGACGGCGGTGCAGGCGGAGGATATGCGCTTTCTGGGCGGGTATGTTGGGGCGTTGTTTATGGGGTCGGCGAAGGTGTTGGGGGAGGAAGGTGTTAAGGCGGGGGAGAATACGGGTGATAATGGTGGGAAGAGTGAGGAGGGGGAGGAGGATGGGGTGGTGAAGATGGAGACGTGAGTTGAGTTGAGTTGGTGCGCTTCGTATAGTTGGGGCTTGCTTGGATGGGTGTCTGGGTGCATTGTTGGTAAGTTGTTCTTCTATGCTTGGGAGGGGGGTTTATGTTTGGGGGTGTTTAATGGTTGTTGGTCTGATGGGTGTGGTGAGGTTGGCTAATGGGCTATTTTACAGATTATGTCTATTGATTAAGATGGACTCGCTGTCTATCTATCCATCCATCCATTCCGCTGTGCCGCGTCGCGTCATGTTCACCTCATGGCGGGGGCGGGGATGATTGTGATTATGCGGTCTCGAATCACCCTAGTTATCGACGACGAACCCTCCGCCCAGAATCACGGCCGGCTCCTCGATTTTATGATGTTCGTAACTGAATCGGTTCAAGTTCCGGGTTAGCAAGATGCCTCTGTCGTGTCGTGTCTTGTCTTGAGGACAACATCTGGGAGATGACATGAGCGCTCACCTTAACGTTCCCACACCTCCTGCTTCCAAAATCAGAGCCGTCTCCGTCAACGGCTTCCCGGTCCATCGCATCGCGAACGCACGCAGGATATGCCCGTGCGCGACGATCAGCACATCGCCTTGTCCGCTTGACGAGGACCCGTCGAAGCACGGACCGTGATACTTCTGTCTGATGTCGGCGATAACGGCGTCTAGACGACGAATGACGTCTTCGGGGGATCTATTTGCATGTCATATTAGCATGAAAATCAAGACAACAGAGGAAATAACATTAAGCATGTCAAATCCGAACAATAGAATAATGGAAGAAAAGACATACTCTCCCCCCGGACACCCATCCCGCCAAATATCCCACGGCCCTTCCCCCTTCTCCGCCCGTATCTCTCGGATCTGCTTACTCGTCAATCCCTCGTAGTCGCCGTAATCCCATTCGCGAACCGCTTCCGTCACCTCCACCTTGGCTTCTGTGCGAATCGGCTCGTGTTCGGGTTTCCGGTTCTCCGCCCAAGGCAGACGCTCGCGGCAGCCGAGGTCAAGGAGTTCGAGGGTTCGTTGGGCGCGAGAGCGTGGAGAGACGTATCTATTTCGAATAAATCATCAATTGAGTCAGTTAGTTATTGCATTCATCGGTCTCCAGTGTAACCACCCCTCCCTCGTGTACGCATACGAGCATGCTCGAGAAAGAAGCGCGCAAGGCGAGGAGACGGTAAAACATACACATGAACCAACTTCCTCGGCGCAATCAATCGATCGTTCCCAACGAGCGCCTTCCCCGTCGACTTGATTCTTTTTTCGCCGTTCGCTGTTAACGCCAGATCCGTGGTGCCCGTGTGTCGACCGTTTATGGACCATTCGGTTTCGCCGTGGCGGATGATGAAGCAGCGGGGGGTCATGATTTTAAGTGGATTTCTTGTTTAGACTGTTGTGTTCTTTGTGAGTATGAGAGGGGGGAGGGAAAGAGGAAAAGAGGGAGGGAATGAATGGGTGGGAGAGATGGAGGAAAAGTTGAAGGAAGAGTTGGTGGTGGTGGGGGACGTTGCGTCATAAGTAGGAAGGAGTAAGCTTATCTTTTCGGAGATCGACGGTTCGTGTTTAGTACACAGGACCCTCTGTATGATTAGTTATTACGATAAATGAGCTAGATTGACAGCACGTAGAGAAGCTACTATATGGAATAATTATGTAGATCGCTAGCCATTGGGTATGTCATCTGTTGGCTGCATTGGGGTTGGGATTGTTTGGTACAGGTAGTCCTGTGCTAAGGTATGTGGGGTGTTGGATATGAGCTTACATCGAACAGTCTGGTTGCCAAATCAATTTTCCTCTAGTGTGCTATGGGATGCTATACTATGCGATATAATACACCCAACTGTGTGTACATGCATTCGAGATCTAGATAATGTCGAGATCAAAAACCGGTGGATCCACGTCTGCTTATGTCATGCGCCATAACTAACTAGGTGAATCGATTCCGTTAGGCATGCAAGTGCTGTACCTGAGTCTGTAGTCTGTAGGACTTCCTCTGGATTACTTGACTTCGAGTTCCATGTCAAGTCGCCCCCATTTCAACTTGAGAAGTACCTAGCAGAGGTGATCTGACCAAGTCACTATTCTAATCTCCCGAGTTCTACTGCCCACTCAACCCACACCCCACCAAGAACCGGAGGGGCAGAAAGAACCAAAATCAATACACTTTCTAAAATCATCAAACATGCCCGGCAGGAGCAAGAACCTAAGAAACACCTCCCTGCTTTCAGGGAGCCCCCTGTCGCAAACTCTCATCCCCTCAGATATCCTCTCCAGTCCTGACCAAGAATGGGTAACATCCCCGGACCTCGCAGAGCACTGTCTGCCCTACATCCCGGAGATCATGGAAGACGTGACGGTCTTCCTGCTGGGCAATATCAATATCAACTCGAGCCATTTGTTCCGGGCTGACATTCTGCATGATAGCTTGAGGCTGCTCAAAACGCCGTGGCAGAAGGAGAGGGTTCATGCGCAGGTGGGCCAGGACGAGGCTGGGAGTGATGAACTCGCGAATAGCGGTACTGGTCATGGTGATGGTGCTGAGGCCGAAGCCGAGGCTTCAGAGGAGACGGTGGAGCCGATACCTGCCAGAGACGTTCCTGGCTTCGAGTTAACCAGGACCGTGGTGAGACGGTTTATTCCTCGCAATCCGAACCTGGATCGGGAGTTGGAGCAGACGTGTCATTTCTATGATAAGATCAAGGGCAGCGAAGAGGACGGGAAGATGTCGACGCCCGCGTCTCGAGATGTGTTGGTCGTTTATACGCCTCATGCGACTTCTAAGGAAGATACGCCGTACTATCATCCCCAGATCCGGGCATTAGCGCTACTCTACAAGTTCGAGTACAAGAGCCCCGAGGCCGCAAGCACAGAAGTAGGATCAGAGGAAGGAAAATCACCCGGTTCAGGCACCTTGTCGCTACATTTCCTCCCCTTTGCGGACGAGGAAATCTCCAACCGTCTAGAACGCACCCTCAACGCCCTCATCAACACCCAGATTCGGCTTGCGCGCGGAACCCGCCTCCCCAACGAGCCCGGGAAAGTACCCAGAAAGGGCCGAGATCGAGGCGGCGGAGAAGGTCGTGGTGGCGGCGACAAGCCTAATAAAGATAACATCATCCCGCAGCACCTGGTGCAAAACACATACACGCGACTGAAGTTCAAGTACGGGCCTGACCTCTGCCGCGACTGGGTCGAGTCCACGGAGCCCAGCAAGCACGTCTTTGAGGATCTCAGCATTACCGCGTTCTTGGTCGAGCTGTGGCGAAGCATGTACGGCGTTTGTCCTGCCGACGAGCGCACCGGGCAAGCTCCCTCGGCACAAGTCGACGACGCACGACCAGGAGACGAAGATTCAGATCCCCAGCCATCCGACTTCCCAGGCTTCGTCGACATGGCCTGCGGGAACGGCGTGCTCGTCTACGTCCTCCTCATGGAAGGATACAAAGGATGGGGATTCGACGCCCGCCGACGAAAAACATGGAGTATATTTCCCGCCTCCGTGCAAGCCCGCCTCAAAGAAGAGATCTACATCCCGAAACCGTTCTTCGACGCACTGGCTCCTCCTGCAAGTCCCCCTTCATCGGACCAAGTCCCATCAAACCCCGACGACCAGGACTTCGACTTCGACCTCGGCGTCAAATCCCACACCGGCACCTTCCCGCCCAACACCTTCATCATCTCCAACCACGCCGACGAACTCACCGTCTGGACACCCCTCATGGGCGCCCTCTCTAACCCGGAGTCCCCATTACCCTTCCTAGCGATCCCCTGCTGCTCGCATGCTCTATCTGGTTTGAAATACCGGTATCCAGCACCGAAGCCTCAGACTCAAAAAGCCGACACCCACGAAGAAACCACCACCACCACAACCAACGAAAATCCATCGCAAGACCCAACCGCAGACGTAGACGCAGATGCAGACGCCAACACAGACTCCCACGGCTCCCTGCTCGCCCTCCGCCAGACCAAACTCGCCTCTCAACCAGGCGCCACCGGCTTCTACAAATCCACCTACGGATCTCTCACTGCGAAGACGATGTCCGTGGCCCAGGAAATCGGATACGGCGTCGAGAGCACCCTGCTCCGCATCCCGAGTACCAGGAACATGGGCGTGATTGGAGGCAGGGAGATTGTGACGCGGGAATGGAGGGAGAGGAGAAAGAGGGCCATGCAGACTCAGACCGATACTCGTTCGCAGGCGCAGGAATATATGTCTCCGGGTCCTGATGAAGCAAGTGATCGGGTCGTGGATGTCGTTCACCGGGAATGTGCGCGTGACGGGGGAGTCGCCAGCGCAGCGCAGATCTGGGTTGATCGTGCGAGAGGAATACATAAGGGTCCGGGGAGAGGGAATTTGAATCAAAATCATCAGTCAGGTTCCGGGCATTGATACTGGATATGGATCTTATATATATGTGTACATACCAGAGAAGGCTAACGTAAATGAAAATCGATCTGTATTGAGCTTGTGGGAGTTACTCCAGATGAAAGGGGTGGGTTCTAAGGCTGTCGTGCCTCCCCTGGCTCACCGAGAGCATATGGCGAGTTTGTTTGGGCTTATTTGCACATGCATCGACTGCTGATTTTCGAGATGCTAGATATCGAACTGGCAATTTCCCAGCTTAAATGTTGCAAGAATACAACTGATCTCATCGATGTCTAGAATAGTAATAATAGTTCACCAAAGTGACCTGGACTCAAGTGCATACGTACTTGATTTTCTCGCCAGGTCGACAGCTTTCCCTTTCCGTTTTAGTGCTCACCCCTCGCCGCTTTTTGCTCACTGAGTAGACCTGAGCACGCCCTGAGCAGCCTGAGGCAATCACTGAGCACGGGGTAAGCGGAAGACTGAATGCCCTAAATGAGTAACCTCAATAAACTGTACCCTAACTAGCGGTCTTTCCCTTGCCCGTTTTTTCATTTCAAGTTCACTTTTGCTCGTTACACTTTCTAAAAAACTCAGCACTGCCATCACGAAAATGACGAATCAGGGAAGCTATTTTTCCTTCTGATGCCCACGACCTTTTCTCTAGGAGGAAATGGTGTACTATCGCGCTGCACTAATATGGCCAATATTGTTCTGGATTTTCTCCGTCGAAAGACAGCACAAGCCCAGATGTTCATGGGAGCGGCCCTGGATATCCCAAGAGTCAAGGAATTAACGCTAGTCTATTATAGATATTTTCTGAATTTTGATCCCGAATACCTACTGGTAGAATGGCATGCCAATGTTTCCCCATCAAAATGCATAATACTGATTAAAAGAATAAGATTCGAAAGTGAGGACGTAGTGTTGATTATTTGTGGCTATCCTGGCCTGGAAGGCTTGCTAACTACAGTATAAAGTTATAACAGATTCATTCTAATCGGATTAAATTCCTTATATGGAGCCCTATTCTTTCTTGTCCAAGCAATCTGTAGACATTGCTGGCATAATAGTCGATACGTAGTACATGTGTCAGTAGACGTCATACGAAATATTCGCACGGAAATCACTGAATGATATCATAGCCTACGCATGATAGTTGTGACGGTCTACAAAGGAGCTTGGTATAAGACAAGTTTGTTTATGACTCGTAGTCAAGGAATTTTCCCATGGGGAAGAAAGGCTATCTAGAAGGGAGGATGTAGAGGCTCTATATACTGCCCGAGGCTTCGCCTCAGGCAGAAATGCCTGCAGAGCATCCAGGAAGGTTCCTGGATGCCTACCGGAGGGTCCCTAGATCCTATACTAACTAACCGAAACGTTCCTCCCGAACGTTCCTCCGCACCGGGAAGATCCCTGGCTTCAGGATGTCACACTGAGGTCCATCTCCCAAGAGCCTGAATCTGGTCGTCGAGGATTCCACTGTCGTGCGCATCTTTTTTTTTGAGTACTCCCCTTGTTGAAAAGTCTCTCAATGGATGAGCATTTGCACGCAGGCTTCCCAACGCCGTCTAACATGGCCAACATGCAGGAACATATAAAAATCCTTGGGCTATAAATTGCCTGCGAATTGCCTGGCTAATCCGCCATCACATAATTGCTGGCCAAAAGTGCCGTAATACGATGTCCTCATATCATCAGTGTTCACACAATCCTAGGACAGCCATTTTTGAGGCCCCACAATTTTGTGATCATGAAATGTGCATCTATGGAGCTCAGGTTCCCCCCATATTTCCACGTTCTCGTCGAACAGCGCTGTGGCCACCCGCTCACATTCTTTATCCTGGCTCAGGTCCCCGATCGATCTGATCGGCACCCCATGGATCACGACGCCCCAGGTAGGGCGGCGCAGGGTAGCGCCTTTCGCCATCCTGATATCAGAGGCCACGGGGTTTTCGCTCCAGCCATCTCGACGAGTCCTACAATATTAGGACCAATCGATAGCGGCTGGAGTTACGAGGAAACTGGTCGATTCTGGGGTCCGTAGACCTTGTAGTTGTTGAATAATTTCAAAAATTGATTCTGCACTGAAGTTTTTTTTTTGAGGCGTCTTGGTTGTCGGTGGTGGACATGGTTAGAGTCAGGATTCAGGAAACCCCAAGCAACGTAATCAGAATCGACCAATCAGTCGTCGAAGGAGGCTAGAGTAGACCACAATGGTGACTCTAAAGCCAGAAGACTTGAGGGGAAAGAAGAGAAGGCGCAGAAATGATTAGAGTGAGGGCTGTTATACTGTCATAATGCCCCTGCTCAGAGTTCGGCCACTTTCGGCCACTTTCGGTTTCTTTAGCCCTATCACCATCCTGATTGGGAATACATGCAGGTCGGATTAAGTAACCATTAATAATGACTGCTCAAGGCTTGTCGTCGCTCCAGAAAGAATTGGACAGCCACACGCTCACCATGAACCACTTCTTCAGCTATGTTCCCCATCGTCATACATGTACCTTCACCTGAACCAAGTGCCAGTACAGAATCATATCGTCTCCTGGAGTCCTGGCTACCCCTTACACGGGATTATCTTCCAGCCCCCGATGGTATTACCTTAACAACATGAAGAAGGTACGGTTCCAAACTATCAGCCCTATTAGGCTATTGTCAAGGTCGGCAAGTAGCTGCAAAGTTCCCCGGTACTTCCGTGATCCAGCTCTCGTAGCTCTCTTCCTCGGTCTAGATTCAAACTAGATTGGCCAACGAGGGATTCGATGATAACCCTAGTCCTCTTTCTAGATTATTCCTTTCCTTTCTTATAGCAAAATTCCTTCATATAGAGTTAGAAATAAACATATCGAAGATCTTGTAGACTGCCACACCAGCTTCAATCCTTACCTTCTGTGTACATACTAACTGAATAGTATTGCGGTTGGTCATATGAGAGACAGCTGACCCTAGTTATTTAGTGCTTACCGTAGTCCACCAAAGTAGATCACTGCACTTCTGATCCTTGACTGATGTCAATTCTACCAACCCCCACGTGAAATACTCTCCCATTTTCTATTCAATCATCTCCACTGGCAAAGGCTACCATGGCCGACGGTGTCATCAAGTCGAGCGGCCCTCGTCCGGCCTGCGAGCGCTGTCGCGGCCAGAAGCTGCGATGTATCTGGGAGACCAGCTCGCCGCAATGTCGCCGCTGTGCCCGGGCTAAGGCCGTCTGCACCATCCCACGAGCGCGTCCGATGGGTCGTCCGCCGCGTCAGTGTCGCGACAATTCGAGCTACTTTGGATGCGATGGCGAGCACCCGCCGTCGCTGGAGGACTCCAGACTGTGCATGCAATCGTCCGACGAGTCCATGCCTCTGGACGGGCTGGCACCATCTGCATCTATCGAGGGCCACAAGACGGCGGGACTGCCCTCCCCGGATTCGTTGGGGTTTCTCAATTAGTACGTGCTGCGGCATGTTCTGTTCTACGGTGGCACGGTAGCTTTGCTGAACCCACTATGGGGGGCATCTTTTCCACCCCCAGCACTGCGCCGATCGCGACCTTCGACGCTCCCAGTCGATCCGACCAGGGCTTGTTCACGGCCCCGACGATCGGCCCTGATATCGTGGCGGATGGCTAGCGCCCCGAAGACCATAATGAAGCGCATCAGCACGACCGGAAAGATGATTCCGTGCAATGGCTGACCCAGCTCTGCCAGCTCAATGTGACCTTATACCAGCACCCGCTATATGCCAATCCGGGCCTAGGAAATGCATTCCATAATGATACACAGATAATGCAAACGCCAGCGTCCAGCGAACACAGTTCCCCGACCAGCCCGTGTCTGTCGGATCTGCAAATAGGCCGGCTCCTTTCCATCACCGTGCAGCTGAGGAACCTAGTCGCCGAGATTGCCTCGGTGGATAGCGAGAAATCGCTGGACGAAGCTCCCCCCGGCGCCGACCACGTCTCCCCCGACCGATCTACGGCCCTGATTGTACTGAGCTGCTACTCCCGGCTCGACGTCATCTACACCCGCGACGTGGACATCTTGCGAGACGTGCAGCGCCGCGGGGTTCCTCTAAGGCCGTCAGATCGTCTGATGCCCTCGCTGGCGATTAACGGGTTTTCGCTGGCATCCTGCCATGGGATCCAGCTGATGTTTATCATCCAGTTGTATGAACAGACACGAGACAGCATCCGCGAGAGTATGAGAAAATGTGGCGAAAGCCAGGATACATAGGTCTGGGGCTAGATCGGTGTTAGGCCGCCCTGCGCCAAAGGCTACGCCGAAGGAAGGCCGTGATATCGAAAACAGCAATTCAAATTAGCGACCCGCATTTCTTCCTGGGATCTATACCATTCGCCCCTGATCGCGATCTTGAGGTTCCCTGCTCAAGGCACTCTAGTCCTCACCTTCATCACCAAGCGGCGGATCATCCTCCAAATCCTCCCTGGTCCAGTGATACACCTCACGATCTCCTGCATTCCCAGCAGCCACGACATAGTCTGGACCAAGCGTACCCTCCTCGAAAACCTCCATTGGAGGAATTGCCTGAAACAACTCTGTTGAAACTTGAGTTAGTCTATCCCCATCAACAAGAATCCGGCCCTGCATTATAACTCTTCCCTTCGCATCGAGATAAGCGAGTAAGAAGTGGTCAGTCTCAAAGGTCTCTTTATCCGCGATCAAAATATAGCTCATTGATGTATAATGTAAGAAACCTCGTGCGCGAGCGTTCTCTTTGACGAGAATATTCAAGTCGTTTCTCCACGATGGGTTCGACCGCTTAACCGCGTTCAATCCTTCCTTAAAACGAGAGTAGGAAGTATAGTTATCCATGTCCGCACGCCAGTCTTTTCGGCGGATATTCTCAGGCGGGGTGTCTTGCGCAAAAGGAATAGCAATTTCCGGCAGGATCTCGAGCACCTGTTGCCAGGGACCGACTCCAAAATCAAAGACGGCGTGGTCATCTAGAAGCGCCCAATCCGCGTCATCAGCGAAGTCCTCCGACATCGTCGCCCAGCTCTCCACGCGCTCGTCATCAGCAGGGTTATACCACGTCCTCAATAGGAGTGGGTTGTTACCGTCCCCATTGTTGTAAACCTCCCAAACGCGCCAGGCTCGTCGACGTATGTTACCGGACCGCCAGGGGCGCAAGATTATAGATATTTCTTCTTCGGTCGGAACACGGACAGGCTGAGCGTCTGGGTTGGTAGCACAGTTTGTTGGGTCCCAGTCTGAGTTGAAGTCGAGGTTTAGGAACTGCTTGACTAGGCGTGCGCGCTGCGCGGGTGGTTGTTCGGTAGACGCGTAGTTCCAGGATTCCTGTGGTTTATATGTGAATGACAGGATTAGATTCTAGAAGGAGAGTCTCACGATTAGATATTGCTCGACGGGGAGTTGGCCCCATGAGGGGAGATAGTCGAGTGCCATGTTTTTGGAAAGAGATTGGGCAGGGAGTTGGCAGGGGGATGGAGGGGAAACAGCAGTTACAGAACGGAAATGTGACGAACTGACCAAGGCCTACTATATAGAGCGATGGGCATACCAAGACTTCGACTTGGTATTCTGGTCTTTTTAGTAGCTCAGTTGGTAACTGTCCTACTAAACGGTCTTGGCGGGTAGAAGCGCACCTACTCACTGCCAAGCCCGTGACAGGAAAAGTCGACAGTCTGTCCAGGCACCAACCGGGTGGATTTATTAGGATCGTGTTATAGGGACAGGAATATGCTCTGTAAGGATTTCTTCTTAGAAGGATCTTACATTTTACGCTATTTATTATTGTAGTGATTTAATACCTAACCGACCCCTCCGGAAACATATGATTGAACGTATGTATGGGATGGAAAAGTATGAGACAATTAACAGGTAATAAGCCAACAAGTCACAATTCAATGTCTATCATATTTAAGGAGACAACATGCACCAAAAAGCTCACTCGAAAATCCAACACGATCTGTATTATAAGTAATACTCGATGAAAACCAGAAAAATCTATCATCCACCTCAACTCTACCCAACCCAACCCCCGCCCCGTCAAATCTTCACCATCAACCTCCACCCCGACGCCGAAACCCTCGCGACAACCAACACCCCAGCAGCCACCAACAACACAACCCCCGCCCACACCTGCGCCCCCAAAAACCCACCCTGGCCTCTCGCAACCAACGCCCCGGCCACCGACGGCCCCGTCAACGGCCCCGGACTAACAAGCGTCAACGCCATCCCCACCCTCGTCCCAATTTTGCTCAGATCCCTCGTTAGGGACGGAATCGTGCCGACTACTAACCCCAGCACCGCCGCCGACACCAGCCCAAAGAAGACCGCGAACACGTACAGCCCGGTGATGCTGGTTACGCCGTGCCAGGTGAAAATGAGGATTCCGCAGAGCGCGGTTAGCGGGATGAGGCTGTTTAGGGGCCCGATGTAGCGGTCTGCGATGAAGCCGAGAGGGGGGCGGATGGGGAGGCCGGAGGCGTGCATTATTATGATTAGGTTTGCGCCGTGGGATTCGGGCATGGCGAGTTTGGAGCGCGCGTATACTTGGATCTGGTTTGTTGTTGGTTTTTGTTTAATCTCAAGGGTTGAGTTTGGGGGATAGAGGCGAGGCGAGGAGGAGGGAGGGGAGACGACGTACGTAGAAAAAGACAAAGAAGAACGTCCAGTAGATCAAGAAGATGCCAAATGTGAGCGTCACATACGACGTCTCTTTAAACGCCGCCCATTCGACCAGCGGACCGGACTTGCGAGGTGGCATGCGCGGATGAATCACCGAGTTAATGACGACGGCGATAAAGAGAACGACGAATCCCATACACCGGACCGCCCATGGGAAGCCTGTTCGAGCTTAGAAAATGTCCTGCGAAGATACACCCCTATAATGTCTCGGGAATGCCCTAACTGACATTTAAACCAGTCTACAGCACGCACCTATCTTCGGTATCAAAGTCTGTATAATAGCCGGAAAGATCATACCGGCGGTGCTCGTGCCCGACGCAGCAACCGCAACCGCAAACACACGCTTGCGGACAAAATAAGTCGAGATCAACGTAACCCCAGGGAGCCAGATCAAGCCCATCCCAATGCCCACGCAGACGCCCTGAGCAAGGAAGATCTGCCAGTACACGGTCGCCACGCTGGTCATGAACGTGCCGAGGACAATCAAGAACGAACCCACAAGAATAAGGGTCTTCGCGTATCCGGCATCCGTTGCCCTACCTGAAAGCGCTGATATCAAGAGCAGGATGAATACCTGCACGCCACCGATCCATGAGATGGTTGACGCGCTCTCCGGAAGCGTATGGCGGTAATGGGTCTGGAAGACGCCAAAGGCTGCAGAGTAGCCCCATGTCAGGAAGAAGATGAAGTGTCCGGCGAGAACTTGCGCCCAGCCGTGGAGTCCGCCATCTGGGGGTCCTGGATCTAGATCTGGTTGTACTTGGCTACCTGTGCTGACGTGTGGATGAGCTGTGGGATCTGGGGCATTCATACCGGTAAGGAAGGTCTGCGCAAATCGAGTTTTGGACTGGAATATGAAAGATAAAGGGGGTAACCTTGGAAAATGGGAATTACTATGGTTATTATAAGTGAGGACCTGCGGATTTAGGCTCCGGTACCTAATTTACCTATAGCTCCCCCATGCCCCTTGCTGAATTGACATCCCACATCGTCCTTCCGGGTATGATAGGTATGAGGATCCTTCCCACCTGGACAATGCTTCCATTCATTGTTGTCTTCTCCAACCTCCAGGATAGTCGATCTTGTACTAAAGCGTGTGGATGTCAATAATCGATACCTGCCGCCACACTACCCACAACTTTATGCAGGAGTGGCTGTTCATCATTGAGAAACTGTAGCAACAATAAGTCACAATAAGGCACGACCTCCTAGATATTTCCGCGTAGGATGATGAGGGCTCGTCTCTAAACAAGGGTTTTTTTTTTTTTCTTTCTTTCTTCACTCATCAATATTTCATAATCTCGAATGCTCAGGACAATAGATTTTAGTTACAAAATTCAGAGATCAGGCGAACAAAAATCTCCTCAGTTTCCCGTATACTCTGCACATCAACCCATTCCTCCTTCGCATGCAATCCCTGACCAGCCGGACCTAGGACAATAGTCGGGGTCCCCGCCTCCGCAAGAAGCGCAGCATCGCACCAGATAGCCATGCTTTCAATGGACGGAGCATTTCCGTACACGTCCCCAGCAATCGCCGCCGTCTGCTGAACCAACGAATGCTCGACTGGTAGTTTGTAAGACGGACGAGACAGCGTCAGTCGAGGCTCATTGTACCGGAAAGTAGGTTTTGTCTGGGCAATAGTGGCCAAGATGTTGGTGATGTCGGATAAGATCGATGCATCGGTTTGCACGGGGATAGTCCGGAACTCGATCGTCACGGTGCATTTCGCCGGGTACGACGACGGCTCTTCGCCGCCATGAATCAAGCTGCAATGCAAGGACGCTGACCCAATCATCTCGTCGACCGGCAGCCGGCCCTGGTATTCTTCAAGGGCCGTGAGAAACCATCCAGTTTGTAGGATCGCGTCCACTCCCGAGGCCGGATCGGAGCCGTGCGCTGCAGTTCCTAGGATATCGACCTCGATCCACACAAAGCCTTTGTGGGCCGTGATGAGGACGCGGTTCGTCGGCTCCGGGATCACCGCACCGTCGGCGCGCCAGCCAGCCGCGATCAGGTCTTGCGTGCCTTGGGATGCATCTTCCTCGTCCGACACGGCGGTGAAGATGACGTCTCCACGGAGGGGAGTCTTTCTGGCCTTGATAGCCGCCAGGGCGGCCATTTCGGCAGCAAGTCCAGACTTCATGTCCAATGCGCCACGACCAAAGATAACCGGACGTCCGTTTTTCTCGCCGACATGGCCAGATAGAGGCTCATGCTCGTAGCTGGTCAAACTAACGGTGTCGATATGGCCGTTCAGCATCAAAGACTTCCCGCCGCCAGATCCTCGGATCACACCGACGATGGATGGACGGCCAGGAACATTCTCAATCCGATGGGTCTCGATACCTCGATGTTCGAGCCATGCGGTCAGGTAGTTCGCGATCTGAGTCTCTCCCGCACCCGGGGTGGCCGATAACGTCACGTTTGATGAATCGATCTTGGTCAGGGTTTGGGTTAGAGACACCGAGTCTTCGACGGTGATGTCGAAAGAGCCGGTCGGTTGGATCGATGTGGAAGACATGTTTGAAGAGTTGGTTTAGGGAGTGACGTTGGCGCAAAATTCTTCAGGATTTTATATTCCGAATGGGCGCCTTCTAGCAACATGCTGGAGCGAGCGCCTTTCGTGAACAGTCTCGGTGGGGTGACGGGAAGGGATCCACAGGTTCCATAGTCCAGGTGCCACAACAGCGAGAGTATACAATCGGCTTATCGACTGCAGGGTTCGATCAGGAGAGAATTAACTGTATATCAAATTGTACCTGTATATATGCTCCATTAAAGACTGATTTATCTGAATCGAAACGTTAAGCTGTGATACAAATGTCAATTTCCAGATTATGAGTGTGGAGAAACGTCAATGAAGAGCGAGCTGCTATCACCGAACTATGATTATGACAATCAAATCGATGTGTCGCCCTCTGAACATCATGCCGATGCTAGATTGTGACTGGAAAGATCTTGCGGTCGGAGATTTCGAATGGGCTGTTGAGAGGACCACCGTCAATCACTTGCTGCCTGCGTCGTTACCAGTCAACTATATTGGTGTTTTGCCGCTGTCAATATGGTTAGTACTGGGGAGTCCTCGTTGAGGGCTGCTATGACTCTGGTTGTCATTGTGGGTGTCAATATTCGGGATATGAAGCTCGTCAAATGGGAATTGAAGTTGACAGGCCCCGGGAATGGGCGGTTAGCTTGTTGAGCATTGGGGATATACCATTTGACTTGCACGACAGTCATATTTTGGGAAGTTTGACAATTTATGGAGAGGTATGCCTGATATTCAAGTGGTCGATTCTGGTGTTTCCTTTTTCGGAAAAATGGCCACGGGGGCGGGGGGCGAGCCACAGTTTTGGAATCCTTGCTTGGCTGACTGCACGGTCGGACGGTAAGGTACTCTTCCATAAAACTCATTTTTTCCAGGTCTTCTAGTCCATAGGCTATACTGCTCGTTATCATGAAGTCTCAATGATCTGACGCAGTGAAAAGTTCGACGTCTGGTCAAGTGAAGTGATGCAATTGGTGTTTGGGGTATATATGAGCTAGTATTTTGGCTTCAATACTTTCAATGGTTCTGCCATTTACTTCATGGGGACTAAAATAGGCTATCCCGGTTTCAGCACGATATAAGCCACAAGATCGACCAAAGCACCGGGCAACTTTTTCTATTAAGAGCAGTGAATTCCTTTGTAGTTAACAAAATCAAACTGACACATGGTTTGTGCTCTAAGGTGTAGATGGAGATCGGACCCTCTCCCGGTCATGCTGGCCCATTGGGAGGCGGAGACTCGGGATCACACCCGAGATTGGATGGCCACCATACCCTTAACATGCGAGGATCAGTTGAGTACTTATAGCTCCGTTATCTCTCTCCAGATTATTTTGTTCAGCGCCATGATGAATTCGAAAACCTCTCGCCCTCGGGTTGTGAGAGCCCTTTACAAAAGCAGCGGCGATAGTATTGGGAACGCAAGGCATCCTCGGGGACACGCTCGCCCAACGTGAACGGAACAAAATCCGACATCTACTATCGAATTGAGTTTCTGGGACAATGTTGATCCAAAAAGAGGGGAGACTATCAATCGATTCTATCCACTGAGCGGCCGGTATTTGGGATTTGAAGGATATCGCTTTGGCAACACCGAATGGGAGAGGATCATGTGGAGTGCGGTTATGTTCGGGCTTTTCTGGAGCGGCTCAAGATCCAAAGATAGGATGTTCGAAAGATGTTCGGAGACCATAACTTTTCAGGCTATAGTGGATGATGAGCTCTTCAATCAGACAGTAGTGGGACCACATTGAAACCTGGAGATTTCCGCTTTGTTATGACATGGAGTGGGAAGGCTATCTGCTATGTTGTGGGCGACAAAATTTCGAATGAAATGATGGATCTCAAAACTCTTGACAAAGACTCGACTGGTTACCGACATGGAAATCACAGACAAACCCGACGATCGACGGAGCAAAAAGCAACGACTCAAGAGCTGTGATGAGAATCATCATACGAATGGAGTGCTTGGTGAAAAATGCGTAGTCGATGGATGTGAACCAGATTCATATGGGTGTACGGTTTATGATGGATTGATATCACTCACCTGTGCACCCTATCCGCTTGGAGGCTCCTCCCAAGCGGAGTGACCAAGTTTCAAACGAATCAACCCCCGTGGCAAAGTTTCCGAACAGGAACACCGTTCGGCCATTCTAAGTTACAGGCCCAGAAGCATTGCAAAGAGCCTCAGGGCCTCATACTATACCAGTTATTACAGGCCTGGAGGACCTTAAAAACTCCAGTGGCGACCTCGAAGCGTCGAGTGCGCTCGTGACCACAAGGGATAGTTGACGCCAGAGGCACCGGGTGGCATACAGCCATGGAGAACTTGGCTCTTGTTAGAACAAATCTTCAACCACGGATTGTGGCCGCCGAAACTCAGTCTTGTCTTCCTTAGGAGCCCCTAGAATCCCCATTCTTCCTACCTAAACAGCAAAAGGCTAGCACGCTGTACCGGGGATGAATTAGGCACAAAGGCAACCCCATGACCATGACAAACCCCGGAGAGTTCATTCACTACGGATTCGGACTCACCGGTCAGAGTTCTAGATAAATATAAACGCTGCATGATCTGGACAACCTGCATGGTTGCAAACAGCTAGAACAGTCTAGAGTTCCCGTGGTGTCCGTCGAACAGAAGAATACGTTCCTGCGTAGTGATCCCATGATGCAAACAAGGTTTCCCGACCAAACTCGAAGACGCAATTTTGACGCCGGCATGCTGAACTCTAATAGCGGTCTCGATGCGACCGTTGAGCTGGGTGGTGTTCTGTATAGGATAAGCGAGGCATTGGCGAAGCTAAACCTTAAAATGACTCAAAGTCGCGAGGAGGAGAGGAGCAGCGATAACGAGGTCGAGGGAATGTGGTGGACACGGCTGCCGAGGAACGGGCTCTGATCTCCGTCGGGCTGGGATGAAGGCCAGAATCTGCAGGAGAAGTTTGGAGCCTTACCTTAGCAGATACTGAGGGCTCATCATGCGCCCACCCGCAGCACAGAGGCAGTAGACCCAGAATGGGTAGGAGCATCGGTGGAGAGTGCAACCGGGTAGTACAAGTACCGGGAGCCATGGAACAAGTCCGACCAGCCATCAACTCCACGTTCACGGCCCTTCCAGCGCTCTCGTGTGATTCGTGGCTCTTTCAAGATGAGAGAATCGATTGAGTAATCGATTCTCCGTCCCACATTTTCTCATGTGGGGATCCTCAGGAATCCGGAGTAAGTTCGACTTCCTTTCGTTTACCCCGGATTGAGGGCCCCAACGGAAGGCACTTCCAAGGCACGAGAGGGAGGCGACTGACTAATGTCAGCGCTCTCATAGAGTAAATCTTCCCCGCGTTACTGTTTACCTCCCCAAGTCTCTCACTAAGGAGCAACTCCGTTCGACTCTGGGTACTATCTATAGATCCCCTCTTCCAAGAAATCCGACGAATCCGACGAGGGGGATTTTCTCACGCGAGCCAACCGCCATTCTTGGTATCCGTGTGGCGTTTTGCTACCCTACGGTATCGCCTCTCCTCACGGCCCCCGAGGGATGGGAGAAAAGGCACGGTCTGGGAAGATCGCTGGACCGGGGGAGAAATAACAAAAATGAAAACAAAAGTAAAGTAAAATAAAATAGAATCCTAAAGAATAACAGATGCCAACTAAGAGAGATTCACCGACTACGCAAGGTGGCCCTCCGATCGATCAATGCCTTACCCCTCCATCCATTAACACATCGTGCATAAAGGAAGCCGCGACCATCTCCAATCCGCCTGCCCCCGTCCCTTGTCGAAGCTCCAGTCGTGGATCGGCGAATCCCCGTCGCCCACCTCGTTCCAGCTTGTCTTGTCTCCGCAGTTCCTTATCACCCTCTGATGTCGTTTCTCCTCATCCTTTGGGGGTCGCCCGAGGGCTGTGGGTTTGCTGGGTTATCTATCTCCTTCTCCTATCTATCCTCCCTCGCTTGCCCGCTGATACGGCTTAAAAGACTGCGACGCTACGATCTGCTCTTCGTCTCCTGCCATCTCCTTTCGTCCTATTAGACCGGATTCCGTCCATCCGCTTTCTTGTATTATTGTCTATTTTCTGATTTGTTTTGATTTATCTAATTTGCTCTCTGGGTTTTCCGTAGCCACCTACCCTTGGTTTCTTTCTGTACAACACTGCCCCGACAACCCCCCTTGCTGGCTGTCCTCTTCTTCTCGTCCCTTTATATACCTTGGAGTGCTTGAATGGTTTTCATGTTCTCATTCCTCCGCTTGGAATGGAAGAAATCAAGATCCCCTCGCCGTCCGCGATTTTAGACATCCCGCCCGCCGTTTCGTCGGCCGGGGCCCATTCCAAAGCCTCGTCCACGTCCGCTCAAAGAACGAACACGAGTCCGATTACTAACAAACCCAAGAAGTCCAAAAGCCGTAATGGTACGGTACCACCCGTTCTTCCAAATTCTTCCATCTCATGAGCGCGATACGGGGTTCACTGGAGAATCAAGAGAGCCTCGAATGCTGCCCGAGATAATGCGCAGTGGGCTGACCTTGTTGTGATTCACTCACAATCCCCAGGCTGCATTACCTGCAAGACAAAGCGACTGAAATGTGACGAGTCCAAGCCCACTTGCCTGCAATGCAAAAAGCGGAACGTGGACTGTGGCGGATACAAAAAGGACTTCAAGTGGCGCCCCTTCGAAGAGACCAACGTTGCCCAGAAAACGGCGGTTGCAAAGTCCAAAAAAGGTAGGCACTCATGCTCGGAGCTGACCGCTCCGTCCGACGACGGTCCTGACGCTTTCTCTACAGTCTCTTCGTCGCCTCCCTCTCACCGGAGAACCAACTCCGGTCCTGCAGCACCGCCCGCAGTAACGCGCTCAAAAGCACGCGCGGTAGGCCAGACAGCCTCGCCAACCGGCTCACCGGTGGAACCCAGGAAGCTGTCGAGTCCTGGTAAAATTTCTTCCATTCTAAACGCTTCACCTAGTCACTCCAGTGGGTCACTGCCGCAAACTGATATTACCCAGTTCGCAGATGAGTTTCTCACTCATCACAGCCTAGGCAGCCTGGGTGAGGATATTACTGATATTACTGCACCGTCACTGGCCGAGATCACCCCTTCAGACCAATCTCCCTGGTTCTCAGACATATCATTCCCCATTCTGGACCCGGAGACAAGCCCTGACAGAGTTACGGTCGCAACTTCAGAGGAGGATGTTCTCCAAGATCCCGGTAATTTCAGTTTCGAGGCTCTTCTAGAAGGAGATAATGATGATATCGAAGAGATCGTGCGACAGTCCGACCGGGGCATGGGGCCACCCATCCCGGGGCTCGGAGGACCAGGTTTCATGTCGCATCTTCAGCGCTTGAACGCTCCCCCAGAACTCCTCCAGGAGCCCCGGTTTGGAATCGCAGCCCCCGAAATGCTGGTGCTGCAATTTGACAGAGTGACCTGCGGGATACTGTCGATAAAGGACGGTGCCCACGAGAACCCGTGGCGAACGTTGATCTGGCCGTTGGCGAAGGATACCCCTGCTCTATACCACGCCGTCTTTGCCTTGGCAGCTTTTCATTCCAGCAAGCAAGTCCCCGGGTTGAGGGTACTTGGAGTAGATCACATGCGTCAGAGCATCACCTGCATGGTACAGGACATTCAGAATATGAGGACGGATGCTGCGTTGGCCACGAGTCTGGCACTCGCTTTCGCCGACACTTGGGATCAACACACTCGCACGTGTATCCAGCACCTGCGGGGTGCGAAGGCGCTGGTGTCGCAGGTCATTGGAACTGGACTGCAGAGTGGGATGAGTGGAACCGATCTAGAAAGAGTTCGGTTTCTCTATAACACCTGGTTGTACATGGACGTGATCGCGCGATTGACATCTCAGGAGGATAGCGGGAATTCAGAACTGGACCTGTCGGTCCTTCAGCCTCCTAGTGATGCAGTGCATGAAATTGATCCTTTGATGGGCTGTGCCACCACGCTTTTCCCAATCATAGATCGGGTTGTTCGGTTGATTCAACGGGTTCGCAAGACGGAATCCAACTCCATCTCGCTGGTCTCTCAGGCCATCGAGCTGAAGAGGCTGGTCGAGCAGTGGGAGCCTCCTGACTGGTTTGAACCGCCCGAGGACCCGACCTCGGAGGTGCAGCATAGTATTCAAACCGCCCACGCTTACCGCTGGGCAACCCTTCTTTACCTCCATCAAGCTGTCCCTGAAATGCCCTCGGAGTCCGCGCCCGAATTAGCCAAGCGGGTGCTACTTCTACTTGCCACCGTCCCTCCTAGTTCTCGGACGACGATCATTCAGATGTTTCCTCTGCTGGCGGCCGGGTGCGAGGCAGAGCAAGAGGAGGACCGCGAGTGGGTAATGAATCGGTGGACTGCAATCCAGACCCGCCTGATGCTCGGCTCGATCGACCGCTGTATCGAAGTCGTTCGTGAAGTCTGGACTCGCCGAGATGCATTTGCAGCAGAAAAGCAGCGACGGCAAGCCCGAGCTGCGGGTCGTTCCAACTCCCAAGGTCTCCCTCGCGATGCCATTGGGAAAGATGGACTCTCGTTCATGGGTTCGGGATCAGGAGACCGCTCACCCAGTAAAGCTGTCTACGGCAAAGATCCGTGGAGGCGGCCTTCCACAGACGAGCGGGCAGTTCCCTCCCGGATATCTTCTGTAAACGCACGGCGAGCTTCGACGGCATCGCCCCTTGAAAACATAGAATTCGAAAAGACGGTTCGGGGTAGCTTGCATTGGGTGAACGTCATGCAGGACTGGGGTTGGGAAGGTAAGCCACTTCATCCCCTCTTTATTCTCTCTTTTCCTTCTTTTAATCCCGCTCTTCATTGGAACCAGTACAAGATAAACTGACAATTCATTGTGGTATCAATAGTATTCCTAGGGTAAAGAAGATCTCGGGATAGACTCCTTACCAACCGGCCGGACTGTATAATTCTTGACCTTTTTGTTCATATCACATTTCCTTTCCCTTCTCGGATCTTCCACCGCTGGCGATTGACATTTAGGGGAGTCTACCGTGTTCTCGGTTTCTCCATCTCCATCCTCCGTCCCCGGTCGAGGGGATAACGAGGATGACGATGACGACGAAGTCATTTTGCCTCTCGCTAGATACGATCGAAGGGATTCCAAGTATGGCTCCAAATCGCTCGTTATGGCCACGGTAGTCATTTTGGCTTCTTTCGCTTCTTGGTAGTCTTGGTTGCGATGGGATTTCGTTTGCGGTCCCGGTTGCGATCGGTCAATTCTCATGTATCACGATACACGATACGAGCAGCAAGCCAGTTGTAAGGTTTTAAACTGTTTTGCGTATATGCTTTTTGCTGCTTTTGGATTTGGCAATGGCTTATTTTCTTTACGATCTGGTTTCCCTCCGGTTAAATCAGCATGGCGTTTTCTTTTTTTCAAGGACTTCCTGCTTTTGAGCGTGATGGAATGTTTGCACTTGCTATACGGACATCTTGATGTTCTTCTTAGATGTTATTCTGGCCTGGTTTGGACAAAATCAATATCTTTTTGGGTTTGGTGCACGGTATATGTAATGTCGCCGAGATGGGAATAAATAGGGTTGCAATGGTTCTCGATGGTTCGCTTCCGTCAGTTCGCGGACGGGTATCTCGGTAGGTAAAGGTAGGTCGCTTGGAGAATGTTTTACTTTTGGTTTTCGAGTAGAGAATAATGGCGCATGGACAGGACGAATGCAGTTTTGCTTTTGGGTATAAAGATAGAAGAAAAGATGGTGTATGTTGAGCTGAGGTGATCCGGTCGGTCACGGTATGTCGCTGGGGAAGTTGCAGTGGACAGAAAAGAAAGCCGCGAAACACAAAAGGCCGCCGTAGGAAGTACGGTACGTGGTGACTGTGTTGAAGATGTCGAGGTTGAGTAGATCACCGAGGCAGTCTTATGTAGATAGATACGGAGTGATCTATCGGATTACTGATGTAGTAGCAGTAAGTCAGGTAGGTAGATAGGTAGGAAGAGTTGGTATTTTTCTTGTTTTTCTTTTTCGTAGCAGAGAGCAGCGAATAGGGACGTAGGTAGGTAGGTAGGTAGGTAGGTAGGTAGGTAGGTAAGAATGAGAGATTTAGGAAGATTGTATCAGTATGTCAGAGATGTAGGCAAAGAAGGAAAGCGAAGTTCATGAAGAGTGATCGGTTCCTCCTTGATAATTGATCGGTTTCTGCGCGGGAACAAGGATATCGATGGTCGAGATCTGCATTGGGTTGAGGTCGTCGAGATTGAAGGGAAACGGACGGGTATGTTGCATGGGACGTTGGAACCAAATATCAAACTGAGATGGAGTGCGTGATTTTTCTTCAAGATGAAGTGATACACACACTAGCACGACGCAACACAGCTTCGGAAAAGAAGCGAGGGGGTAAAAAAAAGGCGCGTAGGAGCGAGCGAAGAGTGGAAGGGGAGAGGAAGAAAGAAAGAAAAAAAGAAACCAAAACGAAAAAAACGAAATGGAAAGGACGAGCTATTTTATTTCCTTCCTGTTGTTCTCGCCTTGCCTAGGTTAGGTTGTCTGGTCTTGTTTCTCTCTTCCTGGGTTTAACTTATCCCGGCTGTAGGTTCCGGTCCGGAGAATGGCGTTGATTCGGATCAGACCATTCAGGGAGTGTATTGTAGTGTAGTGTAGGGCGTGGCGTGCGGTGCGGTACCCTAATAAGGACAGAATTTGATTTTGACTGGTTTAGGTGAAAAGGTTTCTCTCGGGGGTGATCTTTTCCCTATTGCCTGGTCCAGGGAACCTTGGATGAATCGGACTGAAGTGGGGACGTCCGGACGGGGGAGGGAGCAAGAAGAAAGCTGGATGGATTGGATGGAGGGAAAGAGAGGGGAAGGGAAGAATAGTGTAATGGATTGGATGTGGATGATGTCGACTGACAAATAGCGAGAGGGAAGAGGGAAGGTAAGGGAATGGGTTTCCCTGCGATGCAAGACTGCGCTTTCTGTCTGCACTGTGAGATCTGGTTTGCGCTTTGCAGACAAGGCAGTACAAATGCAGTGCACCGTGGCAGTGGTGAAGTCGGGTCAGTTCAGGTTCAGGTTCAGACTCGGCTTGCGGGGCGAGGTTAGTGAGTGAGTGACGTTGGTTAGTTGTTGGTCCTTGGATCGGTCAGCGCGAGAAAGACTGTTCTGCGGGAAATGATTCTGGATAGGGATTGCCAATGCAACCTTTCTGGAATGGAGTACGAGAACCAGGAGTGGGGGATAGGGAAAAGGAAAGAGAAAGAGAAAGAAAAAAAAAAGAGGGGAAAGTAGGAGAGAGTGAGGTGGTGAGATGGAGGAGAAGAGGAGAAGATGACGGCCGTCGATCGTCCGGCCTGGCTGTGTGTCCGCTGATTGGATTGTTGGCTGATAGACCGGGGAAATACTAACCCGTTCGGGCAAACGAATCCAGCGAAAGGACGCTAAGCCCAAAGTGTGCATCCCGGGCTATCAAAGATTCATTAAGGAATATCAACATATTAATATCCATGAGTAATGGTCATTGCTATCGCTCCGATAGGGTTATCGGGACTCTACGTAGTAGCTGCCTCGGGGATCCCCGTCCTCATTCATCGTTGGCTAATCAGAGGGAAGAACATAAGCTAAGGGCATTGCACGAGGAAGCTACAAGGTCACATGTCTGCTCCTTAGTCTTTGGCTACTATATGCCGTCTTTCTCCTCTATAAGATCCCTTTTATAATTTCCTGGTTACCTAAAAGCTCTTACGGAGAGTATTGATATATCACATAGAATCATATGATAGGGGATATACGTGAAATATCAATTGAGGAGTTCGGCCAAAGTCACATGCTGGGAGAAGTTACCCCGAGGTACATTTTAAACGATCAGTGGCTGAAGCTCAATAATTAGTCCAAATGAGCTCTGTTTGAGCCGGATCGTGGAATGCGAATTAGGACTTGTATAAGAGAATCACTAGGGAGATATAGATAGCCTAATAATACGTTCTATTACCGAACTATTTATCTTCTATGCCTCCAGTACTAGTACTAAATATTCTTGATTAAAGCTGCTACGTTGGAAATGAATACGATTGTTGTAGAAGGGGTCTAGCATAGTTTCAATTTAGAGTCCTGATTCACACGTACTAAATCTGTTTTCTTCGCAATGATCTCACAATGAAGAATCAGTTTGAGGTTAAACACATTATGGTCTTCGAGGCTATTCGAACGCCATTTTGTGTCAACCGTCAATGTGGTGTTGAGACCCCACTTTCCTTAACCCCTGTTAAAGGTCCATGATTTTGGTGTTCGGTCGACTTTCTAAAGCTTATTGTTGTGGAGCAAATCTCGAGGTATCAGCTCACCAGCTCGAATAATATGACTGACGATGTATGTTTTACCTGATATAGAGGAGGACTTTTCAGATATGAAATGGCATTAGAAGTGAATGATTTCCTCCGGAAAGCAGGGTGTGAAATTTCGTGATAAAACGAATGTCTATCCCGCCAAAGGTCGGATTGTAGATCCCCTACCAGGTGGTCATTACCATGCAAAGTATCCAGTATAGCGGCAGCACAGTTGTTATTATACACGGCGGACTGGCAAGATAATAGATCACTCATTCCATATTGGTTCAGCTCAATTGTCCCAATATCCCCCAAAAGTGTTACGCTGGCATATATACTTGCCTCTTTCCCCAAGTCAATCAAGTGAGCCTGTTCCGAGGCATTCTCGATCCTCGTGCCCAAGCCAACATCGACTTGGGAATCAGTATAACGCATAAAAGCACCATCGCCATGTACTTCCACAAGCCAAGCAGAGAACACATAGCACCATCCAGCCGCAAGGACACCTAGATAATTCTTCCCAGTTGATTTCTCTTCCATGGTCCCAATCCACCGACTGAAGACTTTCCCGGAGAAGTGATACGGAATGGCCTTCTAAGTACCGATCTAGACTGGAGCAAGTCTAGCCATTTCTTCCTTGATCCCATCGCAGCTCGCGTCTCCGACAAATCGCCAGGTAGATGGAGCCAGTGCACAAAGAGCAAAAACCGGAGTTGTACCGAAGGGGCGCTCAAAGGGTGCTTTTAACGGACCTGGAAACCTGGGGCTTTGTGAAGAGCGTGTTGGGGGTTTGTGAGTCCTGAGGGCAGTTCATGCTTGAGATAGATGTGGGCGAGGGATGCGGTGGGATACAAGTATGCGCGACTTCTTTCTAGGGCGAGCTCTTCTTGCCCGGCTGATGGTTGGAGGACGTCGTTGCGTTGAAGGATCTAGGGCTAGTGATTTAGCTGGGCTGTTTTGGGAGTATATACGTAGGAAGGCTCACTGAGGATAGATTGGGTAATTCCGGGGGACAGGTCTGCAGGCTCATTGTTGTGGCTGCGTTAATGAAACAATACGGGAAAGGATAGAAAAGAGAATCACTATGGAGATGAAGATGTATGGAAAGACTGTATGTAGAGGCTTTTCTATGCCAGAGGGAGAGGCTGCCGAAGTGGTCAAAAATTTGATTGAATTGATGAAGATGATCAATTATCTAGGGGTCATGTAGGAGGACTCTTTTATCTTTATATTCACGTGATCTTTATGACCGATATCAAGGAATCTTCTGTTTCATTCATAGGATCCTCCGCTTCGTATAGTATTCTTCGGAACTGGCCTTTAGCGAAGGTTTGACGGATTGCCTGAAGCATCTAGATTTTCCATAAATACCATGTAGGCACCCGCGAAATACATTAGAAGCAGCCAATAGTAACCTAATCTGTAAGGGTGGAACTACAGGCTCGTATAGCCTAGGCTGGAGTTTGGAAATCACGACATATACAAGATACGACCAGTCTCCGAGCTCTAGGACCCATTGGACGATGGACGATTGAATGGCCTTGTCAAGATCAGCGTAAAGCTGTCTGTTGCATACACGGATAGTACATAAGGAATGTCTAAGAAGGTTGCTGTAGAAGAACGTGCACATATGGGAGCCTAAGGTGCCAAGGGGGCCCTTGCGATGATTAAAAGTAGCTATATAGGCAATTGATCTGGACGGCTAGACTAAATTTTTCGATTTTGGAATGATCTATGAAGAAAGAGGTCTCCAATAGAGTTGAATAAGTACGTAAAAGGACTATGATTTGTCAGCTGCACCCGGGGCAGCTAAAAGCAACTACAACACAGTGTTCGCATAAGAGTAACCAAATTGTCCATATAATTCTGGCTACCCTAGCATGTGAATTGCGCGACTCCAGTTCACTAAAATAGACTTAAGTTATACGCCTTTTTCTACCACGGAGTTGCTTTCCTCTATTACGGTATGCTTTCCATTCCTTCCACCGTCTCTCATCCCAAAGGGCGTAACCCTATTTCCAGCCATCACCTATTGACCGATACTGGTTCATGGAGTTCTCTAGGTTGTATCCCTGGTTCTGTGGCTGGAGCCATGCATTCTTCCAACCCACATTAGGCTGTTCAAGAGGCGATAAAGTAGACCAGAACTGTTCAAAATTCGGAGCCTCGAGTTGATCTGCCGGGTCGATGAAGGGGAACTCCGACGAGACCCTGAGCCCAATTCTTATAAATGGCTCCGGCCAGGAGTCTCTGGTATTGAGGCAGACGAGATCACGTCGGGATAGCCGGTCCATATGGAGAATGCGATATAGGAATTCAGGTCCAAGCGCCGCCAGTCCCCCTATGTTTATCTGACAAACGCCGGCTGGCAATTTTTCAGGAAGAATATCCCAGTAGTAGTACCACAGTGGACTCTTGTTGGGTTGGTGAAAACTATCGCCGAAGTACTCGCATGATGTATTCTTGCTGAACTGCTGCAAGTCGTCTGCTATATCTTTGGCGATTTCATCGGTCTTGCTAATGAGGTAATAAAACACGTTGCCCATTTCCTCGTGCTCCCAAAGAGGCATTGTACCATAGAATAAATCGTATGCTTGCTTTTTAACGGCGTAAAAGTCTATCGCATCATTTTCCGGATTAAACCTCCCCCATAACCAATTCTTACTATCGTCCGGGCACGTGTCACAATTTTTATAATTCAAGCAACAAACAAAGTTCCCGAAGATATTTTGGAGGGTTTGGAGTCGACACATTGCCCTTAGAAAGCGGCGTTTTTCGAGAGGCGATAATTGCAAAGGCAGGTGCTCATTTTCCCATTCAGCAGGCTGAATCCATGAAGGCCTCCCTGCATTGATTGAAAAATCCTCGAGGAGAAAGCACAGCATTTTGTGAAAATGAAGTAGCTTGATGGTTTCTTCTAAGCTATCAGGTTCAATTAGTGGGTTCGACGAGGACTGGCTGAGCCTGCGGATCTCTTTTCTGCGGCGCCAGACGTCCAACAGAAAAATTACCTTCTCGTCCTGGTTGGCAATCTCTTGGTAGAGAAAATGCATGCCTTTAGACCGTATCGCAGTGAGGGCCTCTACCAGGTCGAGAGATTCGTCATACTGACGTTCCACCACGTTTCCAAGTACTCGGTGTCTCACTGTGAGGTAGGCCTGGTGGTATGCGGGCGATGCATGCACGAGAGGTTTGAGCGTATCACTATCTGGCATTTGGAATAAAATTAGAATCTTGAGTTCGACGGGAAGGCCATCGAGGGATGGTTCAGGCTGGGCGAAGTTTTTTGGACTCACCATGTTGGATGAAGCTAACGTAGATTGCTGTGTTGAAGCCTACTGTCCTAGTCCTACTTTTTATATCAAATGAAATGCGCTTTGAAAACTGTAAGAAAAAAAAGATGTTTCCCTAATAGGTAGTCCCTAGCTACCTTGATACCCAAGATAAGGCCAAAAGAACCCTAGTTGATCCCTAAAGGACGCTCATTTCCCTACTATTTAGGTACTAGACCGCCTTGGCCGTGGGGGTAGCCTGGCGGATGTGCCGGTAGAACCTTCCATAAAGTATAGAATTATGATCTTTTTGGCAATTTGTATGGGTATGTACCGCCTGTACCCATAGTGTAACGACTCTAGCGTGACCCCAGGATAAATGGGTGCCGAAATAGATATAATTGAATGGCATACACACATACACACAAATCTCCCAACAACAGATAGTCGTTTAAGGGTCTAAGTGGACCGTTCGGTCCGTTCCACAGTTTCGAGGGTAGATATGTCCATGGAAACACCTCCACCAAGTGGACTACCGAACTCAATTTTGGTCTCAAGCTGTGGCTGAGTCTTTTCTCGTGGAGCAGGCAGACACTTCACTTCTGGCTAGGCAGTAAAAGTAAATCGAAATCGAAGATATAAGAAGATTATCGGAAATCCTGTTGGGTACGCTTCCCGGTTATTTAAAAGGGCAAGCTGATCAGATAGAACCGCTGCTTTCGACAATTTCATTTATATCAAATCATCACTTCTTTTCAATCTTCTTTACTACCTACTCTCCTTGTCTACATTAATTACTCACATTTCAACATCATGCCCGACGAGTCACGCGACCGAACTTGTGCTTGCTGCGGTAGAACCGAGCATGAAGATATCGAAAACCAAGCAAATAAAACTCCAGCTTCCACTGTACACGAAGCAGTCCTCGAAGGGGACACCCAGCGCCTAGAAGAGCTCCTCCGCGAAGGAGCCACTCCTTCAACACCCTTCTCCGCTCGAGAGTTCACAGCACTTCACCTCGCCGTTCAATCCGGCGATGAAACCGCCACCAAGATCCTCATTGACGCCGGGGCCAATGTCTCAGCTCCGACTGCCGACGGCGTAACGCCTTTGCACAATGTCGCTACGGAAGGTGCGATCGGGCCTGCTGAGATGCTTCTCAAGGCCGGAGCGAACGTGCACGCCCGCAATGTTGACGACGAGACGCCACTGCATGTAGTGGCTCTCTTTGGGGGGACGAGGATGGCAAAACTTCTCATCGATGCTGGGTCGGATGTTACAGCAAAGGACTGTTATGGGGGTACGGCGCTGCATGTAGCTGCCGCGCACGAGTTTCTGGATATCGTTCGGTTGCTTCTCGATTCAGGAGCCGACCCAAATGCTATCGACAATAATGGCGACGCGGTGCTACATCGTGCAGTGGCGGATGGACCAGCTTCCGTCCCACTTCTTCTCGACAACGGTGCCAATATCTGTATAAGAGGTCAATTAGGGGATACGCCATTACACCGAGCAGCTCAGAGCTCGGCGAAGCTTTTGCAAGTCTTTCTCCGAGCTGGTGCCGACCATACGGCGGTCAATGACGATGGCGAGACGCCACTACATCAAGCAGCCGCATATGGAGATGTGGAACAAGTTCGACTGCTCCTTGATGCTGGTGCCAATGTCAAAGCAACAACTAAGGACGGCAAGACCGCGCTGGACCTTTTGAAGGGAGATCGATCATTTCTAGGCGAGGATGAGGGAGCGGACGAGAAGGCGAGATTGCTCATTGACGCCGGTGGGGACACGGGGCGAACAGCTTCTTCCTAACTTGAACCGTCAAATATACAGATATACTAGCACCTTAGCATTGATGAATAGAAGATCACTAGATGAACGAAAACATAATATCATTGATTAAACACCCAGAAGAATGACTCACCTTCCGAAAAAGGTACCCGACGCAACCCGCCCCCATAAAAGCAACATGACGTAATCACCAATTCCCGAATTGAATCCCTGCCTTAAGCTCTCTCTGCTCCGGCCTGAACCTCCACCATCAACCACACCTCCCCCCAAACTCCATCCCAACTCCCTATACTCAAAACCACCGCAACCATGGTCTTCCGATTCGTAAGTCAAGCCTCTCGACTCCCTACCACACCAACCCAATACCCCCAACCCATCCCGCAACAGACCAAACTAACCCAACCCCAACCTCCCAGGCCAAAACAATCGACCCGATAACCCTCTTCCACACACCCTCCGTCCCATCCTCGGGCCGCGTCCTAAACATCCTAAAACAAGCCTCTGCGGCCGCGGAAGCCGGAACCCTGCCGTCGTCCACGCGCGGAGAATTCCAACTAGAGATCACGACCGCGCCCCCGACGACCGACCAGCTCCGGAACATCCTCGACTACGTGACCGCGAACCCGGCGGGCGCGGGCCAGAACAAGCGGCAGTATGCGATTGAGGACGTGATTCGAGGGGCGCGGGATGCGGAGGAGGCATTGAAGAAGTTTAAGGAGGATTCGACGACTTTTGTGAGGCCGGTAGTGAGTTCCCCTCGGTTCTCTTTTGCTCTCCTGATGTTTGAGGGAGATGAGTGGGTGGGTGGATGCTAACGGGCTTAGACGGTCGATTGGACGAATGGACAGGCGGTCGTAGGGGATAACGAGTCGGAGATTCTCAGAATGGTGCACCAGTTGGAGCAGGATTAATTGGAACGCGATTACAACAAGGTGAAGGTGACTTTGCAGTGATTGACTGTATTATCAGATCTCTACGATACCATCTATGTATCTTATCTTACAAGCAATTCTCAACTCCAGACCATGAAACCCCCTCCTTTCCGTCCTTGGAAGGATAATGCATACAAGTATGATGACGAATCCATGAACATTAAACACATACTTCGCTCATGTCGATTCAAAAAAGAAGTCAATCTCATGGTCAAAGTCAATGCGAGATCCAGCTCGTGACATGCCCGAAATAAAAAATAAGAAAAAGGGGAAAGAGAAAAGAAAAGTAAACCCTAGAACATCGTGCCGAAGGATCCATCGGTTGGGATCGGCTTCCGCGGTGAGCTGCGGCCCGAGTTGTCCATGGCCGGCTTCCGGTGCCTGTTCATCGTCAGCATCATATCCCTGGAAATTGAGCGAGGTGACATACCGGAATGTAAACCCAACAAACAGTCCCTTGCTCATCTTATCATCACGTTCAGCCATTTCTTCCAATGCTCGTTGCTTGTCGTGAACCTCCTTATACTTGGCCATGTCTGCCTCACTGGAAAAGTCGTCAAAGTACCCGGCATCCGTCTCCGAATCCAGCTCGGGCACGAACGGCGCGCGCTGCTCACGCAGGCGGTCAAAGTCAACCTCGCTGAAATAGTCGTGCGCGTGGATCTCCTGGATATTCTTGAATCGTCGCTCCTTCGAGGCCACGAGCTTCGTGATTAGATCCCACGTTCGGCGCGATAGGAAGTAGTTGGGATCCTCGTAAACCGGTTTGCGCAAGACCTTTTGCCAGTTCTTCAGGTTCTGCCATGTTTCATCCACCGTGGCTCCTGCAAAGGGCGGGTATCCAGCCAACGCCTCGAAAAGCATACACCCCAGACTCCAATAATCTACCGTAAAATCATATTCCTCGCCCTTGAGCACCTCGGGGGCCATGTAGTCGGGGGAACCCACAATAGACTTGGCATAGTTGACCTGGCGCTCTCGCAAGGTACGGTATCCCTGCCGTCGCTCGGCCATCGTGCGCTGCTCCATCGGACGACCGAACGGCACGGGCGTGTTACCAACCTCTTCCAATTTGACCCGCATCGACTCGATTTTGCCGGGGTTCAGCATACCAGCCGCCAACCCAAAATCAGTCAATTTTACATGACCTGTCGAGTCAATGAGGAAGTTCTCGGGCTTGAGATCGCGATGAATGTAGCCCAGGGCATGCAGAGCATCGATGCAACTGAACATTTCGGCAATGTAATACCGCGCATGGCGATTGTGGAGAACCCCGGTGTTGTTCAGAAGAGTGCGGAAATCTCCTCCAGGCACGTACTCCATGGCCAAATAGATCTGGGTATCATCCTGGAATGCGTACAGCAACTTGACGAGCCACTCACTCTTGGCGGCGGTAAGGATATCACGCTCTGTGAGAATGTGTCGAATCTCATCCAACTTGAACAAGAGCTTCTTGCTCATGACTTTCAATGCGCAAACTTCCCGGGTGTCCTTCTTCTGCGCGAGATACACTTGACCGTAACCACCCTGACCCACCTGGGTCAGAATCTGGAAATCATGTTGGCGTAATCGAGTACGACGCTTGCGCAGGTGGGCGCGCTCTCGTCCCAAGTATTTTAACAAGGCTGGTTCGTAATCATCCATTGGCGTAGCAGGTGGTTCGGGGTATGCCGCTCGGAACTGGTTGTGGCGATTTTGCCGGTTGTGAACGTAGCTGAGGAGATCGAAGTAATGATCCAGGAAATCTGTGGAGGGTCAGCTACAACAGCTACATCTTCAGCATCGAAAGACATCCACCTACACAGTTGCGTCACATTTGCCAGTCGCTTGACTTTAGGGTCCTGCAGTTTCTCCATCTCCTCGGGCGTTAACCCGCGCATCGGAACCTGACGTCGCTGGATGCTTTCCATGTCGCGAGGCTGGTACGGTTCATGACGGGAGATCGCCGCCGCCGCGGGGTTCGGACCGAGTGGTTTCGTTATGCGGGTAGGACTAGGGGGTGTGTTTTCTTTATTGGATTTGCGCGTCGGACTGGCTTGGGGGGAACGAATCACGCTCTCGCTGAAGTCCTCGACTGACCCCTTGGGCGGTGCGAACATGGGGTGATCGTAATGATTGTATTGGCTCTTGCTCGGCGAAGTGGGGTTCAACTTCAAAGCCTTATCGAAAACATTGGGAAGGTCGAGGGCGCCAGGAGGGAATCGGCTTTTGCTGGGACTGCCCTGCGGAGTCTGGACGGGGCTGGTGAAGCCATTCTCGGCGGGTGTGGAGGGGCGATCCAGAATGTTGCCCGAGCGGGTGTGTAGCAGCGGAGGGGGATTGGGCAGCCTTAGGCCTAGGCGATCGGTAGATTCGACATCGAGAGGCATGGTCGCGATTTCCACGGACTCAGGGACACGACTGAGGGACAAATCTTATAATGACCGCTGAGGATAATCAACCTGACAAAAAAATGTGGGTGACTGGGACCCCTTAATAAGGGCGAGACTCCGCCGACGGAGCGCTGGAGTTTGGTGGTCCGCAGTGGTGGAGGGAGCAAAGGAGGGGCGGAAAAAGAAAGCAACGCGCTGGCAGGCACCGCACGAGGTGAGCTTTCTGAAACCACGGTGGGGAATAAGCAACTGGCACGAGAGGCAAAGAGCTCTAGGTCAGCCAGACTCACACAACAGCCACTTCCGTCGAAAGTCGGGAAAGCGAAGAATGTCTTTGTTTCTGGGATCGAGATGGTTGGAAGAAAGTGTCCGGATCGCCGTTGGGTAAACCACGAGTGCTCTTCGATTTCCGAAAGCGATATGAGATGAAATGAGAGAGGGAGAGGGAGAGAACGACGGAGAAGTCAAGGGAAACACGAAGGTCAGGGAGAGAAGGAGAGAGCGAGCAAGTGGACGGCGACGGCAGGGATGGGATAGAAAAGATGACGATGAAGGAAGAGGAGGAGCGACCGCCGAAGCAGCCAGAGCAGCCAGCCACGGGACGTCCCCACAGTCACTGGACCAACGGCAGCCCTGAATTACACGCGTTCCCCGGGCAACTCCCTTCACTTCAGCTGGTCTCCGATCCAGATCCTCTGGGAAAATCAAGGAACCGGGTCCTGATTGGGTTCAATCCACCTGCAAGTCACAAATGGAGCCCCCGGCCTGGTCCTCTGGCTTGCAAACTCTGGGTGCTGAAGGCTGACCGACACGGCATTAGCGAGATCGACTAGATCCATTGGGCTGATCCGATCTTGCTCAGAGCCTCTCCCGGTCCGATTCTTATATTAAACCGGATCCCTTAGTTCCAAATACTCCCGGGGATCAGTCCTGGGATCGAGATGGCCTTGTCTCGCCCCCTGTCTAGCTCCTAGCACCTACGAAGCTCGGACAGCAATTAGGTGCTACAATCTTATTCTGCAGAGCCATGTACGACATCAAACCCTAAACTAAGGGTTGCCAGGCACCCTTGTTTATCTAGAGGTAACCGTGTCATAACATTATTCCAACTTGATCGATAGTTCCAAGGCCCGCAGATTAAATCCATGGTTGACGGTGGAGATCCGATCCATGGACTCGAAGACCGATGATCCAAACAAACAGCCCGTCATGTTCCTGGCCCACGATCGACTGGGAATCTGTTCCGCCCAGTCCGCGTCCCACAATCCAGCCGCTTAAATGACTCCCTTGGCTTTTTGCCCGGTCTAATCTCGATATTAGCCCCGTTCGTGCCCCTCCCCGAGCCCGAAACCAAGGAAACTCACGAAAAATGCCAACCCGTACGACGGGGTCGTGAACGTTATCTTCGATCCCTTAGGGAAATGGAAAACGTCGCCCGGAGACGCCGTGACCTTCTGGCCCGTCTCATCGGAGATTTCAAACTCGCCCTCGAGGATGATCTTCATTTCATCGTAGGGATATTCGTAAACAAGCGGGGTACCCTTCTCGAGCCGGTAGAAGCCGGCCGTGATGGGTTTTTCGGGATTGTATCCATCACTGGCATGTGATTAATCTTCTGACACATGTCTGGAGCTGGTACTAATTATTCTTACCTCGAGTCAATATCCCCAAGAAATGCGTTCTCATTGGCGATCAAGGGAGGTTTGAAGGTGGACTGAGCCTTTGGGTGGTAAACTAAACCGACGGCCATCTTGCTAGGTTCGTAAAGGTGTCGGATACGGTTAGGCGGCGCAATAGATAACAAAAATGAGTCCTCTTTCACCCAAAAATAAGAGCACGGTCTGCCGGTTTATATTTCTGCTCACAGTCATAATTGATGGACCGTTGTCATCCGCAATTGTTGAAAAGCGTTGTCAGATGCGAGCAAGAGCAGCCATGATATAAAGCCTCGCATCAAACTGCTCGAATAGGCAAGTTGAGGAGTGAGCATGCGAGCACCGATAGGCGGTGCTGCAAATTCTGGAAATTCTGGGGGGACATGAGGGGAACATTCTTGGGATTATGATCACAATCTATCATAGTCAATAGCAGATAGCAATATGCTCCAAGTAGCTGATTATCCGTCTGATTACGGCCACTTCTTGGATCGGCTTTTCGACCTTGTTTTTGATCACTGATTATCAATCATCTGCTCCCAGCCTTTAGAATTACCTGACAAACATTGAACTTATAGTAATTCTACGTGTTTCTCTTAATAGCTACCCCAGAACTTCTGAGCAATCACCTGAAAGCGGCAGGCCAAATGAGCACTTTGTTCCTGAAATAGAATCCCTGCCTACCAGCTTAGCAACTCGGTCATTGTATCAAGCATACATAGCGTCACTTTTATGACGACAAACTGAGAATATCTTGTTTCCTTTAAGTATAATATACCCGTTCACTGATTGACATGTCATGACAACTGTTATTATTGATGTTGAATTCACTACAAGTCAATCTTCTCTTCGATCCCTCTATTCTGTGAACTTAGCTTTGCCGAGTGGTCATAATAGTGACTAAAGTGCCGAATGAATTAAATCACTATGGGTCAAGCGTTTCTATCATTGGAAAAGAGGAAATAGGTCCTCTATGAAGCTGCACACATCAAATGGCCATGGAGGGGTAGGTAAACGGCGGAATGCTTGGCATATTGCACGTCAGCACGCTTGCATATCTAGCACAAATTCTCATTAGCCCGTACTGGAAGAAGTTCTAGAGTTTCATACCTAATAACTGGTAGCTGACCTGATTGATCTGGGCAAGATATAGCCAGAATAGATTTTCGAATGTTTGACGGTCCACACCCATATCGAGTAATATTGATCTAGGTACAAGCTACACAGTTCAGCACTTAGCTAAGAGGCCATCAGACCCACTAGGGTTGCTAAGCTAAATATGCGATGAGGCTCTTAGGATGGGGCAGGTTACTCAATGCTATGTCCTTTGGCGAGAAAAACTTGACTGGGCCAAGCTTGTTCGCTGGTGGTCTGCGATTTTGGCGAAAGGCGAAGGTTGGAACGCGGTTGTGCAAGAAGCTCGTCTTGATTGTGATGCCTTTTTCACTCCTTGGATGATAACCCGGACGCGCGGAACATCTTTCATCGTTAAAACTTGCTTGGATAAGGACGTGGTATCATCTACCTCTATCATGAAGCGAGACGTTCGATGCTCTTGTTGAGTTTGCGCGTTACAATGTCCTGGGGAGCCAGTTTCCTATTGCTCTTGCAGGAGCCATGTGTGTGCCAATGCATCGATACTATGGTACGGAAGTCAAATTTCCACCTCCAAGCACTGACGGCGCCAGATATGCACCTACGCTCTCAGATGATATGCTACGTGTGTGGAATGATCTGGAAAAAAACCTTCCTTACTATATAACCCTCAGCTGCAGTCCGGAAGTCGTGATCTCCACCCTCTGCGGATCATTCTGGCAGCCAAATATCCCCTGCAATATGGCGACTCAATGGCTTCATCTTTTTTTCGAAGAGATCATACCCACTGCCTCGGAGGCCAAGAGCCAAGAATTAACCGCTTTGATCGGAGACGCAATTAGCGGAATAATCCCCAGCCTTCTGGAAAGAGTCAGACGAGGCAGATCGCCCGTGGACGCTGTCGCGTTTCCGTGGACTGATGCGCCGCAAAGCTTCATGGATGGGCCTGGAGAGGGTCCATCATTGTGCACAGGATGCGGGATATATCTCACGACCAGATGTCTGGCGTCTACTGCTCCTATTGCCCATTGAAGAAGACGAATTGGCGTATGGGTGTGGGCCCCAAACACCGTGGGAGCCATGCGATGTTTCTCGAGCGAGGGATTGTGTGCTGCGCGTGACTGCGCATCTGAAGTGTCCTCGACATGGATATAGCTATGACCATTGGAACTGGGACTTAGATAATGGTATCACTGTGCAAGATTATGGGTTCTCTAGGTCAGGGATCTTTCGGACACTGCTTTCTCGCAAGTCTTCTGACATTTCGAATGTCAACACTGAGTCTTATTCATTTGCGAAAAGAGAGCTCGGTACTCATCGAGAAGCTTCAGAACAAGCCTCAATGGAAATGTTTCGCTGGTTCGTACTTGGTAGTGAAGGCGTCCCTCCTGAGAAGATTTACCAAGATGAGTGGTTTCGTGGATTGTGGAATGATGAAGCCTATTCTGACGAGGGAACTCATGAGGTTCAGCGAGACTCGGAGCCCAAGAGTCCTGATAGAGTTGAAAGTTGGCTTCATATTGTCGACTTGACTTGATCAACATAAAAAGACAGTATCGAAACGAGACCTTTATCTACTATAAACCGGTGGTATCTAGTGAAAATTCCATATGCTGCTGAACTGTTTAAACTGGAGAGAAAGCAATTATCAAAACTCCGGTCTTAATAAGAAAAGAAATTATATAAAACGTAGATTACCCAAACTCATACTTACGCTCACGCCTGATCTGCCCTTACCCGCAAGGTATTCTCAAGCAACCTCACCAACGACTTCTTATTTTGTTCCTTCACCCCAGATCTCTGCGACACGTCATGCACAGCCCAATCTAGAGGTGTCATTCCCAAATTATCAGGAGTTTTCAAATCAGCCGTCTCGCTCAACAGCATTTCCGCAATCTCTTCGTCGCAGTTCTGCGCCGCATGGGACAACGGCGCTCGCCCGTCCCCGTCTTTTCGATTCATATCGACCTGACCAGTCTTTAGAAGTAACTTGACGACTAATCTGTGGGCGCCCCTCGCAGCCCAAGAAAGAGGGGTTCGTCCGTAACCGTCGCTCGAGTCGGGGTTGACTCGTTCAGGACCGCAGTCAAGAAGGGTCTGGACTACATCTTCGCGACCGTAGGCTGCGGCCTTTGCGAGAGGGGTCCAGAGGCATTCGCTCTTGGAGTCAGCCTCGGTTCGGGGATCGGCGAGGAGGGCTTGGAGGGCTGCTAGGTGGCCGTTTCCCGCGGCCCAGGACAGGGGAGTCCATCCATCGCCATCCTTGCTGTTGATGTCGACGTTGGCAGTAGCGATAAGGTGTTCAATGATCTTCACGTGTCCGTTCTCAGCTGCTAGAGATAGAGGCGTGCGCCCTTTCTTGTCCTGGGAATCGAGATCTATGTCTGGGGCTGCGAGGAGGGTTTTCACGACCTCCTCGTAGCCCTTGCTTGCCGCTACAGAGAGTGCAGTAGTGCTTCCTGTTTTCTGCGTGTTTATCTTGACTTTCCCGGTTTTCAATAGGTATTTGACGACTTTATTGTGGCCCTGTTGTGCTGCCCACCAGAGCGGGGTAGCACCTTCTCCTTCAACATTCAAATCCGTGCCTGGGTCTTCTGCAAGACGATGGACTACTGCATCAATGCCAAAGCGACATGCCGTGGTGATTGAGCTGGACGGCCAGGAAAGTGAAGATCGATACCATGTGTTCTCGGAAGTCCAGATTCTATGCAAGCTCGTTGCTGTGTCGCAGAGTGGAAGTGCCACCTCCACTATTGGATCTCCATCCTGAATCCCGGCGTCAATGAAATGAAGCATCCAGTTGTTGCTTGAATACTCGAGCAGTCCTTTCAAAGTAGTGTCCATTACATAGGAATGTAAGTAGCTAATGCATATGTCTGCTAGAAGTCTGTTAGACTCCAGTGGTCGTAGAATATGCTTCCATGTGCTGTCAAGCAATGGCTCTGATGACTCTGCAACACGGGATGAACTTGGCTGCACTAGAAACTCCTTTGCGGTTTGATGAAGCAGAAAGACTCTCGAGTCCATGATGACCACGAAGAGCCCGCATAGATCTCTGATCGTGTGTCGGAACCGCGTCTCTGGCTCCAACTCTTCGATGATGTTCTCGCACGATCGTTCGTCTTTTCCCAGGCTTGTAATCGCGATAGCCAAGGCCACCTCCTTCACAGTAAGCGGCCTTTTGGCAGCTGTGACAATATTCAAGATGCTCATTGGCTTTTCCCTTTGATGAAGCGGTATGCGGTCCAGCATTTTGTTGTATGCGTCGTCGACGCTCTTTGGGATTTGCTGTATTGCTCGTCGCACATTACCTCGGGTGAATCCAACCATGTTCTTGATCACGTCTAGCGTGAGGTCGACCCAGAGGTAGGTGCGGTTCGGAGTCGCCATTAGCTGATGTTGAAGATATTCCCGTTCACCAGCCTCAAGGGACTGTTGCTGACTGATTATTTCGACTCGTTTCTGAATTACCAGATCTATTTCATGAGAGATTTGCTCGACTTCTTCCTCGCCCTCGCCTTTCAAATGAATCGTCGGGAGGCGACTTTGTAGTTCGTAAAAGTTACGCCGTATGTGCTCATAGGGCCTGCTAGTCATCAGGAATTTCAAATTCGCATTAGAATCTTTGATGTAATGCTTTGTGGCTGCGTCCAGCAGCTCCTCTCTGTCGCCAGGCAAGCATTCATCCAAGGCATCGAGAATGCAGATAACCTCCCCAGCATTCTCCAAAACTTTGATGAAGGTTATCCAGAGATCTGGAAATGACGCTATGAAGTGTTCTCCGTTCTTATCAACCATATCAAGGATGGCGTCGTCTAATAGCTGTGGCTGAGCTAAGAAGAGCTGACGAAGAATTGAACACATCGCATTGGCAGCCGTCTTTTGATCTGAAAAGTCGTCCTTGAAAAAGAAATAGCAAACAGTCCGGTTCCTCGCTGGGAGATAATGATCCACTAGATATTTGGCTAGGACTGATTTCCCACAGCCCGGATCCGCAGACACCCATAGCAAGCTGCCACCCTGGTTGCTATTCCAGTGCTCGAAAAGGTGATGGTGAGTAAACCATTCGCATGTACCAGGAACGTGTTCGTTATTCCGATCTTTGCGGTCTTTATACTGGCAGACATAGAGGAGTAATAAAAATTTCTTCGCCTTCTCGTCTCGCGCCGATGCCTGCTGCCAAGTTAGATGTTTCTTCTGCGTATCTTGGATCTCCTTGAGCTTCGCAGAATCAATCAGTCCTGTAAACTTGGTTGCGTTCTCCTCGGAGCTTTTTAAATCTTCGAGCAAGGCCTTCCAGCCGTCCTGTTTGAATGCATTCCCAAAGAGCTGTACAACCAGAGGTTTCCGAAGATAGCACAGCGCCAGGGCTTGGAATTCTAGGATCTGACCGTACAGTTCCGTCAGAGCTGTTTCGAACTCTGCCTTGAACTCTTGATTTATCGACTGAGAAGATACCGAGCTCGATGGGTCTCGGTATAATCTTTCCGTGACATGAAGCCGACAGATCAAGCCCGAGGTTGTCTCCAAGCCCTGGAGAAGGATAGCATGCTGGTCCACTGCCTGGATGAAAAACTGTAGTCAAATTAATATCGACATGCATCAATTAATCTAACGTATAGCTCAACATATATAAGGCAAACCCACCGTGAGAACAACAGTAACCCCCGCGCAGGCAATAGCTGCCGGTGGACTGGCTGTGGCCGCCGTATTGACAATATCCTTCACCATAAGGATATTCTTCACGATCTGCATCAACTGATCGCGTACTTCAACGCGATGATCACCGGACTGAATACTCCATCTTCGGCTTTCGATCTGTTTGGTTTTCTGCTCTATCAAGCCCCGTAGTTGGTTTTTGCGGGCTGCTGTTCCGCTAGGCTCTAGTTTCGATTCTGAAGGGAGTTCTAGCTCTGCCTCTAGGATCTCGAGAGCTGTTTGCCATATTTTGGCCTTCCGTTCGTTTTGTAGGATTGTGTGCTCTGCTCGTTCCCAGAGACTCTCGAACTCCTGGTCGTTCTTGCCGCTGTTGTTGGTTGGCGAGGGTTTGTGCGGGGTCGTGGCAATTTCAGGTCCAGGGCTTGCGCCCCTCTTGGAAGATTTAGATGATCGGAACGAAGACCCTCTGCTGAGACTAGGGGTTTTTGAGGGGAGTTTGAGAAACTTTGGAAGGGAAGGCATTGCCTATTGCATGAAGAGATGGTTCATCGAGGCGGGATGGAGATCCTGCGGGGTTCAGCTCAGTGACGCCTGATCTACTAACCAGTTATGAATGGACGAGGCTGACTGGGCTGTGCTAACCTCAAGGCTGTACAAGGAGTCGCTATAGGTCGTGTATCTATGATGACTAACATGAATGAATGCACTTATTGGGATGATCATGGTTGTTGCCAGAGGGAAGGATGTCCCTGATGGCCCCTGGAGGGGAAATTGCTTGACAAACACCTGGTACCACACCTCAGGCATTCAATCATCCACGGAAGTTGTATAGCATAATCAACAAATGACCGAACGACAGAGTCTAATTCTCAAGGCAAGAATGCATGGGTATATAATGAATGTCTATGTACAAAAATCGAAAGTATTTATAGGTGTCAAATCACCATCCGAACTTCTCAACATGCATGTAGATGCCCTGTGCTCCGGTGCCCTTATGCACAGCCCGATCGTCACTCAAATACACGACGCTGCGACAAACGTCGTCAGAAAGGCCCTGGGGCCCGCAGACAACCACCGCGCTTTCGCCCTCAGCTTTCTCCAAGACCTTGCGAATGATATTGCGCGGCTGTGGGCGGCCAGCCAACACGTTCAGCTCATGCTCCCGAGCGTTTCGTATCGAGTCGGATTCAATGTATTTGACCTCTGTCTTGGGCTTTTCTGCCTCGTTCACCACCTCATCGTCCTTTCCTGACGGTTGAGGTTTAGGCTCAGACGGCGCAGCGTGTCCGGAGCAACTGCACTTGTGCTCGGTAATCTCGTCCTCGTCCTCAATGGCAGTAGTGCAGCAGCATCCGCCTCCAGGGAGGCAGCCGGAGTCCGTGGACTGCGAGACTGAGTTGATCGAAATGGTGTCCTTTTCCTCCGTCCTAGCAGGGAATTTCTCCTTTGAATCAGCATTGGTTATGACGGTGGTGGTGGTTGTGGGTGCAGGCGGAACCTGCGAGCATTGCGTTGGTCCGACCGCTGGCTGGGGCTCCAGCTTCTCATCACAAGTCACGTAAATGCTTAAGTCAAGCTCCCGGACCAGGTCAGGCTGGGCACATTGGCAGTTTTCGGCATCGGCGAGCAATGACTGCAGCTGCGTTTCGAACCAGCTTAGCTGAGCCCGTGATTTGATAACCCAAACGAATCGAATGCGCTTGGTCACGGCGTAGCGAGTCCTCGTTGCAGATTCGGCGCCCTCCGTTTTCCATCCGGCGATGAGATCGCGTAGGAATGGCAGCGTGAACGTAATTCCCATGCCTCCCGCGAGCAAAACAACACTGTCGAACTGGCGGAGAGGCCTGATTGCACCATATGGACCATCGAGAAATACGGTGCGGGGCCGATTTTCTGACTTAGAATCTGTAGAGCCCAGGATTTGGTGGTGTTTGGAAGCGTAACGAAAGAATCGTCGGGTGCCGCCTTTCTCAGCCCGGACGAGGAATTCCATCTTCTTGTCTTCGGGGATGGAGGCGATAGTGAAGGGGTGGCTTTGCAATGGCACGACCGAATGACAAGTCAGGAAAACATGTTGGCCAGGCTTCCATCGGATTCCGGGGTTCTCAATCGTAATGCGAGTGACGTTCCCGGGCAAGGGCGTGAAGGTCGCACGGTTGGCCCAAAGCGCATGCCCATTCTCTGTCTTCGATCGATGGAAGATGGAAAGATTGGCATAGGTGGCCCACACGTAACGGACGACTCGGTCAAACACCAATAATCCGATAGGAATCCACACCCAGACCTTGACTTCCTCGGGCGCATGGAGCCACACGGCAGCGATGAATCCGCAAAAGGTCACCAGGTGCTGAAGGACGAAGAATTCGTAGCTCAAACGTCGTACTGGTGCAGCGGACGAAAGAACGATAAAGGTGAGGATGATCCAGGCGGCAAATCCTCGCTGAGATAGAGGGTCATTCTTCAGCTGGTAGGTGATATAATCATAGCGTCCCCAGTTGCGAAACCAGAAACCCATGTGGATCGTTGTCGTGAGCCAGAGAGTCCGGGAAATCCATCGATGGTACCAGTTCAGACTTTCATAGCTCATGCCCACCAGAAATCCGATGATGTTTTGTCTTCCCGCCAGCAGGAAGATCAAGGGCAGTTGAGCGATAGCGACAAACCCCGTCCGGTAGCCGACATCCTCCCATTTCCATTGGTCGAAGGTGTCGAGTTTGTAAAAGCAGAAGACCAGCACGACGATGAGGTTAGCCAGAATTATAAATAGCGGGCCCAGTGGCGCAAAATGAATCGTGCGGCCCCCGAGTGACCACGGAGGCAGCGTCGCGTAGCTTGCCTCGCGGGTAATTGCCGTCAAGGTGGCATACGTGTTGAAAAACAGAGACTTTGGTTTTGACGGTGTGAGCGTCGAGTCTCGAAGTCTATATAAGATTAGCATGTTGATCTCCACCGCAAGGGACCTGCAACCTACCTTTGAAAAGCAAGGAAGCGATTTAAACCGTTCACGACGGCCCCGGCTCCAATGGCGCTTCCTACGACAGCCCAATACATTTTCTGGAGGTAGAAAAGATCCGGTACGCCATCGCCCATGTTCATATGGCCCATGGAGCCCATTGACATACCGTCCATCGACATGATTGCGGTGGATGTAAGGGAGAGTAAATCCTATCGATTTAGGTCTTGACGAACAGTACAGAGGGGATTGTTGGCGGGGCTCTCAGGACATTTTCAGATTGACCAGCAAATTGCCCGTTCGGAAGAGCGTGAAGGTAGGTAGGGACTGATGGAGTACAGAAAAGAGAGAGAAAGCATGGAAAGCGAAAGGAAAGAGGAAAGAAAGAACACAGCAGGGTATCACGGGCCGGGGATTACTACCACTTCACGCTCCGTAGTTAAGGTGAAAGAGGAAACTTGCTCAGGTGAAATCACAAAGGTAATAATCTGCTCAATGTGTACCGGTCGCATCGCTGGTTGGGTGGAAACATGCTCACGCCCCACTAGCCAACACCAATCATCACCCGAAGAAAGTGCTCACCCGCAGAAATGTGCTCAAGCGTGGATGACAATAGGCCTTGGCTAGACCGGCTTCATTTCGAATTGATTGTGTCTTGAAAGTCTCCGGCTCATCGTCCCTTTTATATGGCATCATGTCCACAATTGCCCTCTCTTCTTCTCTTCCCACGTCTTCAATCTTCTGACACCCTCCCGCGAACCATTTATTACCCTCAATCCTGGAGCCTCTATCCTCCTCCCGCTCAATTCCTCTCTAATCATCCGCATCCGTCCATTCCGCCAGACCAATCCACCCCCACCACCACCATGGATATGAGCAACATGGACCATTCGGGCAGTTCGAGCTCGTCGTCGTCATCCTCCAGCATGTCGATGGCCATGGTTTTTGTCAACGCCCATGACACGCCTCTCTTCGCCAATAACTGGACCCCCTCGTCCAGCGGCTCGTACGCCGGCACCTGCATCTTCCTCATCGTCTTGTCGATCATCGGCCGCCTGCTGGTGGCATTCAAGGCCGTCATGGAGACCCATTGGCTCAACACGCACCTCAACCGTCGCTATGTCACTATTGCCGGCAAGACGCCAGAAGTCGGTCGCATTGATTCCGACCCCGAAACAAAAACAGCCTCCCTCGTCACGGCGCAGGGCGTCGAAGAGTCCGTCCGGGTGGTGCGGCGGGTTGCGCGTGAGCCCATCCCGTGGAGATTCAGTGTGGATCTACCGCGGGCTTTTCTGTTCCTTGTCATTACGGGTGTATCATACCTCCTGTATGTGATTTCCTGCCTTCCTTCTCTTTGTGTTTTCGCCCCGTTTCAGCCGGCTAATTCTTATCTTTCCGTTTAGCATGTTGGCCGTAATGACCATGAACGTCGGATATTTCTGCTCCGTTCTCGCGGGCGCGTTTCTCGGAGAACTCGCAGTCGGACGCTACATTCAGTTCAACGAGCACGGACATTGATTTTGTCCGATGTATGAGTCTTTTTTTTTTTTTTTTTTTTCGAACTAAAATTTTGGATTTCTCGGAGTTTACTATATCCCGTACGGCGTTTTTTGGGCGAGAAGGAATACGACCACCTCATTGGCAGCGACGATTCCTACTAGAGCATTTACTGGCGTTTTGACATCAACACTTTCGATCTTTTGGTCAACACCATCATAACTACCCTCGTTGAAGCAGGCTAGTTTTTTGCACATACACATGCACAAGCACATATGTTATTATGAGACACGACCGTGCTCAAACATCCTTGTATATACTTACACAAAATATATCCATACCAAGACGTCGATCAACGTCATACAGAAAAGCTTGTACTACAGGTGGTCCCTCAATCAGTGTAATACGAGAACCCTGATAGGTTCTGTAGTCGGTGCATTGCACGCATGCAAGCGATCAATATAAGCTGCGTCCGCAAGATCTACGGACTATACATCTACAGACTAGCATCCACTTCTTGGTTCTGCAGGATCCCAGCCCTGGCCCACCCATATGCCGAGCCGGTATACCTACCATTCCGGGAGGGGCGTAGCCTGAGGCAATTTTTCAGAACACCAAGTGCTTTGCAGCCGTTAATCATGAGAGTATATTTCTATTTGAGCCGTGAGTTTTAAAGGTCTTGTTGACTTGTTCGCTAATGACACCCTCCCTCCCCATCATGATAACGTTTGCCCATGTCTCTCAACTAGAATAATTTATAAAGCTATTGTCGTTGATGGACAAATTGCCATAATTCAGTCTATACACTTCCAAATCAAAGCGTGGAGTCAAGTCGACTAATCCGACTTTCCGCCCTTCTTAGAGTCGAGTTTCTCGAGATACAAACTCCTAATACTCTCGCAAACACCCCAGATCCTCCTACGGTTCACCAGGCCAGGGAAGTAATCCGCCTTGTCTTTTTTATATCGCGACTTGTCATCAAGCTCCGACATAACCCGATAAAGTCGCTCATTCAATTCCTGAGACTTGCAAATGTCCACTTCGATATCGCGAAAGTCCCACAACCACGGCATATCAGATGTCAGCTTCTGCTGCCATGAGAGCGGCGTCGTCAGCATTGTCCACGATGCAGCTTTGAGTGCAAGTGCGGACGCTGTAGGAAGCAAGTTCAGAATCTCAAGCCGCAGTTCGCTCGGAAGCTTGTCGAATATATCTACCGTTGATGGGGGTTTTTGGGACTCGGTTGACTGCTTATCCTGGTTAACAGTGGCTTGGATCTTTTCCAAGTAACCCTGTAACTGGGGTATGTCGACAGGGTTCGTCACCAAGGCCTAGTTTATTTTGTGAGCATGACGTGGATCATCTGAGGAGAGGAAAGGAAGAAGAAATACCTCCTCGCCCTTTCTCGACACCCAGTACTGATCTTTGGGTGGTTTGGGCCCGCCGTAGTCTAGATCCAATCTGTTCCAGCGATTTGAAGCCACGATTCCTTCGAAGAGAGTGTAAAGAGTATCGTCGTCCATTGTTTCTTGCTTCGCATCTTTAATACATCTTGGGAGTATGTCTCGATAGCAGATGGCGTGGACAGGAAAGACAGGCTGTTGCTTGCCATCGGGGTCGTTGTATCTGGCTCAATTAGCACAGTTGCATAGAGACACAATGGGATTATATTTACGCAACAAAATCGATCGGTTCTTCGGAAGATTTGGTGGGAACGTTGGGATCTATGGGTCGTTAGGAGCGACGTAGAGGCATAATATTTGACATATTCAATACTAACCATCTCCTGGTTCAAGAGATAAAATCCCCTAGATCATGGGTCAGTACATTGTCTTGAAATAGTCTAAAATAGACGTAGGTCTAAATTCACATAATCCGAATATCTGCCCGGACCGGTCAAAAAGGCCCTTGCAAGTAGACATAAAAATCAGCATTTACTTCCCAATTCCTAGACTCCAATGGTGATAGAACATACTTTCGATCTCCCGACGCATCGGGATTGGACCCAAGACCGTGCACCTTTCCCAGCCACGTTGTATCGCTCTCTCCAATGGTATCCGCGCGATACGTATTCGGACTCTGGTCATCGGAATCAGCTACGATTCGTTTCTTGAAATTCGAAGCGCATATCGCGCAGTAGACATCCCAGCCTCCCATCATGCAAGAATGGTTTGAATTTGGGATGAGACGGATGGATAGACGATGTTGGACAAGGAAGGTTGTCGATGCGGGGAGGCAGCTCGTACAGCTCTATTCCTAATCTGGAGTTAGGGCCTTGGTGCTGCGTCATGCTTTCTGCAGTGGTGTATCTCGGAAGGTTTCCGCGAGTGAAGTATACGAATCTTTCATTTTGGATCATCTTCACTGTAACTTTTTTTTCTCCCTTTTGTTTGTTGTTGTTGTTTTTATTGGTTCATTTCACGGATACCAAGGGGGGTTCGACATTCTCATCTCCAAATATTTCCACGTAAGATCTGTCTTTCATAGGATATGCAACTACTGTTGGCAGAACATGAAACGATGATATGAGAGTTTAAAGCAGTGAACCATGAACGTATGCTTTCATAAGGGAATCGTCTATTATATCTATCAGGTTTAGAATTGTGCAGAATTATGAATAGCTAATGTCTCTCACATGTGCTCTGAATAATTCCTCCTCCACATGATAACGCGGATACTTCATCCAGGCCTTCTTGATTTTCCTACTCAAAATAAGTCATTTGATCTCGTATTTGAGTTGCTAGGGTTGACTATCCATGGCTGACAGTTGATCCATCTCTATTGAAGGGCGATAGCGCCAGATGAACCGCTGACATTTAAGATGATCGGAATGTCGCGGGGATATGAACTTTTTCTTCGAATCTGCAAGCCTCGAGTGACTGGTAATTGAAATTTGAAAAATCTGAATATGTATTCATTTTGGGCTCTTGGGAATGGCATACCGCTAACCGAGGAGTGATGTTAGGTTTAACAGTTCGCTGGGTATCATCGTTCTGCTCACTGCATTAGACAGGATATTGCTAAACGTATAATTTAAATTCTTATTTGGCCTTAAATTTCTGCTTAGCGGTTGCAACTGGAAAATTCGTTCGGATTGATGGCTGTCCTCGAATTAGGCGAAGACTGCAATCCTCAGAAGAATGGCCCGAATCCCGTAGGTACAGGGAGCTGTTGGGGTAAAGGAGCCCTAACAGGCTAGCACATTGACGCAGAAGCTAGGGACTTACTATTCTTTGAACAGTAATATATGCGAGGATAACAGGAGCTTTTAGTTTTTAAGATTTGAAGACCATAAAAAGAGGCACAGCTGAACGCAGGGTCCCAAAATTTGGGATGCGGCCACCGGCTGTTCCTGAGTCGGATCCACAACCTCCGTCGTCCTTAATGAAGATCCGCTGGTTCAGATTCAACTTAAAGCGCAACGATCGACAAAAGTTCTGGTCTAACATTACCTCGGATGAACCGCTAAATATTTATGTGTTGCACATGTGTCAATTCGTCAATTCTATAAATCAGTTCTTTCTTAGATTTTCTTTTCTTTGTGATATCCGCCACCGGTTGGTAAGGGTTAAAAAATGATCAAGGAGGAGAGAGAAAATTCAACGGCAGAGCCCCAGGAAACATTTTTTGGCCAGGGCTGGGGGGGGGGGGGTAGATAATCTGTTTGACTCCTGTTCAATATGTTTCGAAATCGAGCCGGAAGGACCAAAAGACAGCTTAACTACTTCACAAACGGCGACCATAGATCTGCCCTCTTTCCTTGGTTCCCCGAATTTTGGGCCTAATTGGCGATTTCTATTCAGGTACCAGGTACGAAAGTTTAATATGTTGTCTAGTCTAAACACATTCTCTCAAGAAAGGCATATAGAGGGAAATGCATTCCGATCCCTTCGATGCAAGCCAGAGGGAATAATTTCGCACAACCTCCAACATGTACGGGCTTCGCTCCTTTCTACTGTTCACGCTTGCTTTGCTACCGCGAGTTGCGCTGGCTATGCCAGCTGCTCGATCGGCAAATGATACCCGTCCTATTGAGCCCGTACATGATCCTTTCTATCTCCCCCCTGAGGGCTTCGAATCCTCTCCTCCCGGAACCATCCTGCGGTCCCGAGAACCTCCATTCCCAATTGCGGCCTTCAGTCTTGCCAAAGTGAACCTAGCCTCGGCGCATCAGCTTCTTTTCAGAAGTACCGATTCTTTTGGAAAACCTATTGTTGCTGCCTCCACGATCCTTGTCCCTCATAACGCCGACTATACCAAACTGCTGTCTTACCAAGTAGCTCAAGATGCGGCCAGCCCGAACTGTGCTCCCTCTTTTGGCCTCCAACTCCATGCCGCTCACGATAACTTCCTCGGTCTCATTATGCCCCAAGCTGAGATCTTGTTCCTGAGCTCAGCTCTGGGCAAGGGATGGATTGTCACAATTCCCGACCACCTTGGAACCAAGTCCGCCTTCCTGGCCAACAACCTCTCCGGACATATAGTGCTCGACAATGTCCGCGCCGCACTAAAGTCCTATGCCGTCACGCACGTCGCATCCAACCCCACAATCACCCTCTGGGGATACTCCGGCGGCAGTCTGGCCAGCGGTTTTGCCGCCGAGCTGCATCCCACGTATGCTCCGGAGTTGAAGATTGCCGGCGTTGCTCTCGGCGGCACCGTGCCCGAGATCCTGCCTGTCATCAAGACCGTCAACAAGGGCTTCTTTGCCGGCCTGGTCCCATCCGGCGTGCAGGGCCTTGCCAACGAGTATCCCAAAATCCAGAAGCTCATTGACACGAACGTTCTGCCAGAAAAGCTTGAAGACTTCCAAAAGACCAAAGACTACTGCTTGACCGAGGATCTGCTGCACTATCTCAACCACGACATCTACTCTTATGTCAACAACTCGGAGATCTTCGAGGGGCCGGTAGCGACCCAAGTCATTCAGGAGAATGCGATGGGTCAACACACGCCCAAGGTGCCCCTTCTTGTTTATAAGTCTCTCAACGATGAAGTCAGTCCCGTCAATGATACGGACGCTTTGGTTACGAAGTACTGTGATGGCGGCGCCGACGTGGAGTATAAGCGCGACATGCTGTCAGAGCACGGAGCGATGGAGATTGTCGGTGCTCCTGATGCTGTCATCTGGCTTACTGATCGCATGAATGGTGTTCCTGTCAAGCAGGGCTGCCATAACTCGACTGCTCTGACTAGCTTGACTGACCCCGGTGCCATTCTTGCGCTTGGCCAGGGTGTCATTAATCTTCTGTTAATCTTACTGGGTGCGCCATTGAAGCCAATTGCTTAGTGGTCGCCTCTGGTGACTACCTGCAAGCATTCGATATGAGCTATTTATGCAACGAGGTATGAGTCGGGTATCACGCTTTTCTTTTTTTTTTTTTTTTTTTCGCTTTCTTTATCTACTCCTTTTATTCCTATTCTATTCTTCTTTTTCTTCTTCTCCATGTCATCTTATGATCGATACTGGATAATTGGGTATTAATTTGGTGGTCTACATCAGTTAATAATCTTTGGATATGTCTAATTTCGGAATACCGGCGAGCTGAATCTAATAGGAGAGATAATTCATACTATTTTCCAAGAAATTTAAAGTTAGAAACTTGCTCCCAGTAACTACCTCTAATTCTGCAACATATTTACACTTATTGTTATCAATATATGTAGGTACCGCAACGACGGGAACACCCCGGAAACTCTCCAAGCTTTCCACAACAAACAAACCCCTTCCCTACGTCCTTGGAAAATTTGCTGCGTTTGAGCGAGAGATTCAGACGTGGCCGAGGGACTTTGTGGAACATACTCGTTGTCATGCGTGTGATGCGGAGGGGGAGTTGAAGAAATGCGTCAGGTGTGGAGTTATGAAGTATTGCAATAAGGTGAGAGGATACTTCTTATTAATATCTTGATCGCAAGGATAAGAATTAAGGTTACTGACAATGGCTACAGGAATGTCAGGAGATCGGTTGGAAAGACAAGAACCACAAAAAGGATTGCAAGACCATTGCGGACACGGACTTCCAGGAAATGTTGACGATGCAATGGTCTATATTCTGGGACTTTAAAAGCTTCCCCCTACGCAGTGAGTGAAGCTTTGGGTAGATGTAATTGGTGCATTGGGTCGGGACATGGGGCATTGGTGTCAGGTTGGCTTTGTCTGGGGCGGTTTTCGTTTTAATGGCATGAAGATACTAGGTAAGACTGGTGATAAAAACAAATTCAGATTAATTAATGATATTTATGGTTTTCTTCTATTTACTAAATCATCATCGTGAATGTATTTGCATAATAACACATACCAGAATTTAGTGTTGAGGCTTGGGGTCTATTTACAAGATTCCCCTTGCAAACAAAGCATCCTCTAACATTTCCGAGGAATAGCAGAAGGCTGTCTACCCTCAGTGAATGACAGAACCTGAAAATTTCTCTCTCGCACCCTTGAAGCTCTCGTATCTGTCGACCTCAACCTCTCTTCAACCTCCTCTCTATCGTACCCTTTCTCGAGTTCCTCACCTCTAAGGCTACGTCCAACATGCTGGATCCTCCGGCTCCTTTCAGGTCGAGCGAATTCGATTCTGTCATATCCATGCCTACCGGATGCTACGCTGATTTGCGAGACGTGACAGCATTTCCCAGCTTTGCAGACGTCCCGCACTCGCGTTTTAAATTCCTCGATGGCAACGCTCTGCCGCCAGACAACCATTGGTGTCTCCTTGCGGAAATCTTTTCCATTGAAATTTCTACCGATCTGGTCTTCGAGGTCATTGACAAAGCAGGCAGGCAATTCCCCCTTGCGTTCTGCACCGAAGATCATGGAAAGAGCTTTTACACGCCTCAGCTGCGACTTGGACATACTGTCGCGATCATGTATCCCGAGCGGCATCGATTCCTCGATGGCTATTGGGGAATTCTTCAGAATGAGTACTGCATTATCAAGGTACGCCCTGGCCTTGGATATCGCTTCTATCTCCTTGAAGCTGCCGAACTAAAAGTGTTTGTATCTCATGTAGGTTTTTCCTACGTCCCTTGACAACTTACTTCGTCTCAGCGATAGAATTCAGACCTGGCCAAAGGGCTTTAGCGAGCACACCAAGTGTCATGGATGTGATCAAAGCAAAGGATCACTCAGGGCCTGCAGGGTTCGTAAAATATTCAGATATTGCAGCAAGGTAAGATCAATGTTCTCGGAAAGCCAATCACGAGCAATCGCATGCTGGCCAAAGCTGTCGAGCCCAACAGCGATGACTTGCTACCTAGCTGTGGCCTTATGTGTAAAGTTGATGAATGCTAATAGCTGCTTCACAGGATTGTCATGAAAAAGGCCATAGCCAGACATGCAAAATTATAGCGGATACCAGTTTCCAAAGGATGATGACAACGGATTGGGTGGGTTTTCAAGGCTTCAAAACCTCTCTTTTCTGCAAACACTGAAGCCTTTGGGAAACCATAGGGCGATGCCAATATTTTTTCTCATTGATTCAAAAGTCTTACATTTTCGTCTTTCTGGGGTTATTGTTTTTACGGGTTTATCGCAGCTTTGCGGTCGAGTTTCGCCACGATTTACAGGGAACCGGGTATTCGCGGGAATTTTTATAACTGATACAGATATATCGATATGAAAGAGCTCATTGCTTTCTAAAATTTCATCTCTCCATTTGATAAAAACTGCGAGTAACGTCATCCGAGTCCAAGACCGATGCGAAGCGCAGCGCATCCTGGTGGCAGTTAGTCAGAGCGGGTATTGCGGAGAAGGAGGAACAGCGAAGACGGGGTAAAAGGAAGGGAGAAGCCCCGGCCCGAGGTCGATTTAGCCCCAGTCATTCATCGCTCGGCGGGGATCATCAACAACCATCTTTCATCACCGCAACTTTCTTCCCTTCTTTCTCTTTCCCCTGTCATAGATTTCATTTCCTCTATGACACAGATGATGCTTCGCTCGGTTCCTCGTCGGATTCCTCGACGCCTCCCCTCCCTCTCCGCGACTGCAGGCAGTCCCTCCCGCAACGCCCTGCGCTCCTTCACATGCGGTTACCCTCGGATGTCGGCCTCCCCGTTACCGCCCGTCGCTCCCCTCGTTTCCTCCTCATTGCCAGGCGACTCGTTCCAGCTCCTGTCCAGTTCCAACAAAGCTGGCGCGGCCGAAGATGCGCTCTACGAGCAACAGATCAAAGATGTTGAAGCGTGGTGGAATTCGCCTCGTTTCGAAGGCATTAAGCGACCATACAGCGCCGCGGACGTGGTCAGCAAGCGGGGTTCGCTTCAACAGACCTATCCCAGCTCCTTGATGGCGCGGAAACTGTTCAATTTGCTCAATGAGCGAGCAGCGGCGGGAAAACCTGTTCATACGAGTATGTGTTGGTCGATGAGTGGGTAGAGTTGCTGGAACTAACGTTTGTCGCAGTGGGCGCCATCGATCCGGTTCAAATGACCCAACAGGCACCGAACCAGGAGGTTCTGTATATTTCTGGCTGGGCCTGTTCCTCCCTTCTCACGAGCACCAACGAAGTATCCCCCGACTTTGGCGATTACCCCTACAACACCGTCCCGAACCAGGTGCAACGGCTATTCAAGGCACAGCAGCTACACGATCGGAAACAATGGGATGCGAGGCGGAAGATGACCCCGGAGCAGCGGAGCTCCAGTGAATACGTAGATTACTTGCGACCGATCGTCGCCGATGGTGATACTGGGTATGTGCTTTTGTCGAATACTTTGGGAACGGCCGATTGATTTGTTGCAGACACGGCGGCTTGTCCGCTGTCTTGAAGCTGGCGAAGCTTTTCGCCGAGAACGGGGCTGCGGCCGTCCATTTCGAAGATCAGCTACACGGCGGAAAGAAGTGCGGTCATCTTGCGGGCAAAGTGCTGGTGCCCATGGGCGAGCATATCAACCGACTGACTGCCGCTCGGTTCCAGTGGGATATGATGGGTGCCGAGAACCTGGTCATTGCGCGAACGGACTCGGAAAGCGGACGACTGATCAGCAGCGCTATCGACGTGCGCGACCACGAGTTTATCCTGGGTGTTACGGAGGATGTCGAGCCTCTTTCCGAGACCTTGCAGGCAATGGAGAGAGAAGGAGCGGCTTCTTCAGAGATTGACGCATATGAGCTGGACTGGGTTAAGAAGCACAAGCTTGTCACATTTGACGAAGGTAATTCTTTATCCCCTACCTCCCTCTCACATGTTTCCGATACTGATCATATCAGCCGTTGATGCGCACCTCAAGGCAGAGGGAGCCTCCCACTCCGCCAGGGACGCATACAAGAAGCGCGTGCAAGAGAACCCCGACCTATCCATCTCCCGCCGACGCGCCCTGGCCAACGACTACACAAAGACCCCAGTCGTCTGGTCCTGCGACAGTCCCCGCACCCGTGAGGGATTCTACCACTACCAAGCCGGCTTCCCGGCCGCCACCAAGCGTGCCAAGGAGTTCGCTCCCTACGCCGACCTCCTATGGGTTGAGACCGGGGACCCGAACGTCGAAAAGGCCGGCAAGCTCGCTGGCGAAGTACGCAGCGCACATCCCGGCAAGAAACTCGTCTATAACCTCAGTCCCTCATTCAACTGGATGGGCCAAGGCTTCGACGAAGCCTCTCTGAAATCATTCATCTGGGATCTGGCTCACCATGGGTAATGACACCCCACCCGTTCTCCCTCCTCCTTTGATTCAACGATCAAGACCAAAAAGCTAACACATCATAGATTCGTCCTCCAATTGATCTCCTTGGCGGGCCTGCACACCAACGCGACCATCACGACGGAACTCTCCCGCGCCTTCAAGGATGAAGGTATGCTCGCATACGTGCGCCTCGTTCAATCGCGCGAGAAAGAACTCGGTGTCGACGTCCTCACTCATCAGAAGTGGAGCGGCGCGCCCTACATGGATGGCATCCTGGGCGCGATCCAGAGCGGCAGCAGCAGCAGTAGGAGCATGGGCGAGGGGAACACCGAGAAGGGTAAGTTTGGGCGGGGACATATTACCGTTGCAGCTGGCTAAAGTTTCATTAGGGTTCTAAATGGATACGTTGTTCGGATGTTACGTGATGTTGTAGGATGTTGAGTAATTTTGAGATGATTTCTGTTCGGATGTCATATAGTCAAGTTTGATGTATCTTGTATGTAAATTTTGCGGGTTTTGTGTTTTCATGAATATTTGGTAATTATAGATTTCAAAGTAGATCAAATACCTTGAAAAGCAAAGAGGAAGAGGCGGGAGGGACCATGCCCTCTGTTACGACCTCTGTATAGAGCGATGCACAGCCAAGTCTATTGTTGGACCGCTTCTCCT